ACCTACCATGACCTTTTGGAGAGCACTGGCCAAAATGCATTAGCAAAACTGCACAACCGCCAGTACTGCTACTACAATTTTTGCGCAGTAACAAACACACCCTGCCTTTGTTAAGAACAGACAACAGAACAATAGCAGGATTTTGACACAGCATGTAATGTACTGTTTGTTACAAAGATATAGCAGCAGGAATTTTTATCTGTATATGACCTACTACTTAAAAATATGCCATCTAGGAACCAGGCAGGAAGTTATTTCACCAGAAGTTAGTGATTTCAATATCCCTAATGTACAGCCATGAAAAGATACTCAGGTGGTAAAGTGAACTGCAATAAGTCGGACACCTCAGTTAGGAAGTGGAGAGAGATCATAAAAATGAAAAGCCTTGGGAGCACCGACCCCAGCTAATCCATAACAGGTCCCATAAAAAAGAACTTTGCGAACCGATTCGCGCGTCCGCTTGGCACAGTCGCCAACAATAACAAGAACACGAAAACACCGATCCATCGCCAATAGGATATCTCTTTGTCTTGCAAAGGGCTCGCTACCACGCCATATATTCAGCGAAGGCTACAACATAACGAATTGTTAAAGCCAAAGCCACATACCGACCCCCACTTCCCCCCCCCCACCCCCACCCCTTAACGGAACAGCTGTAAGCCACACAGCCGGCTTAATGTTGTTGCCAAGATGGCGGCTGCTTCACACACTGGCAGACAGCTGATGTCTTACCTAGTCTCGTACACTGTGGTTCCGTCAGAGTTTCCGTATTCCTCCGACAGCTGCTGTGTGAGGTTTACAGGCTGGTGGTGGCTTTAATGGACTCGCAACAGATGAGTGGCGTCCGGCCCGAAAAGCCTCAGGGCGTTGGTGGCTTGTTCAGGATGTCCGCTCTGGTCTTGTATGTCGGGCAATCGACGATTGGTGTGCACTGTTGGAACAGCAAGGTCACGTGATACTACCAGTGCTCCATGTTAGCTCTAGCTGCGGCACCAAATCTCGCACGACCGCCGTCACCTTCTCTCGCCGTCGCCTGGCCCGGCGCAGTGGGGCTGTCTGTGTGGCTCCAGCATCTCCTTTCTGCGCCGCTCGTTCTTGCGCGGCGCCGGCGGGCGCCGCCAGCGCTGTGCACACGGCTTTTTTATGCTGATAGTGTACTGGTTCGCTCGGAGGTGCGTCGCAGGTGGCCCTGTTCGTTTCACGCTGAGCGAGAGCGTTCGCTGATAGGCCTCAGATAGATGGCTAGATAAAACCAGTTCCTTCTCGGCCGCCAGGCATTTCTGTCGGGGTTTTACCGGTTGTCACTGCTGGCGGCTGCTTCGTGGGACGGATGCGTCTACTATCTAGGGAATGCACGGCCTGGGTGATTGGGTTACGTGACAGCTGCCGCCAATTTATGCGTCACGAATAATGGATGCATGGACAATGGCGCGACTTGATACAACAACGACATACGTATTAACGATGCATGTAGATGCGCAGCAACGATGCAACACATTACGCACATTACTACGGGACCTGATGAGGAAGGAGAGACTGGGAGGTGTACGTCCGATTGATTGCAACTGTCGCGAAACCAACAAACGGAGACGCAACCGATGCTTCTCCGCGGCTCCTATTCGTTGGCATGGTGTAGCGCCGACCGGGAGAGTCCAGGCTGCTGACACCGAGTGGTGGACCGGACTTGGTGTCAGGATGTCAGGTCCAAGCGGCGCGATGGACCCGACCTGGTGTCAGGTCCTGTCAGCAAACACGGGTGACGAACCGGACTTGATGTCAGGATGTCAGGTCCAAGCTGCAGACACGGCGTGATGGACCCGGCCTGTTGTCACATCCTGGAGCCGCCCGGGAGCCGCGCTCGCTGTTCCGGTTAGTTGCGGCTGGTGTCCGGTGTGTGACCCGGTACCGGCCGTGCCGTAGGTGACCGCCCCGGGTCGGCGCTCGCTGTTCCGGTTAGTTGGGGCTGGTGTCCGGTGTGTGACCCGGTACCGGCCGTGCCGCCGACGTGGAGAAGCCTCTCCGGCTGGGCCTTGACCACATCAAGCGGAGCTACGGCCGAACGGACCGGGACCCTTAATAAGGCCTCTAGCCAGCCTTTTTGACTCTTCAGCTTCCAAATTAGGCCCTGAATCGTCCATCCTGAGGGGCCTCTAGGACTTTCCGAACACTGTCCCTGGTCCGCCCAGGGTTCTTTTCAGCACAGGACCGCCTGTTAGGCACTGTGGGCCCTGACCAATACAGGATGTCTCTCATCTACTGAGCGATAACGGCCGATGTAAATCATGGGTCCTAGCCTTATCCCTGCTTGGGAAATGGGCCTTCAGGCCCAAAACGAAACGGAGCCGACTGTTTGGTACTGATCATGCCTGATCGACAAAGAGGGCCTCACCTACTCAAGGAGGGGGGGGGGGGGGGGATAATCGGCGCAAAGGGACCTCTGATTGAAATTTGAGAGCCCCGGCCCGCAGGGCGATCACCCTTAATACAACCTCCGGCCAGCCCCTCAGGCCCAGAAACCGGGCTCTCAGACGCCAGTCTCGAGGACCCCTCGAGACCTAAAGGGGTGGGGGGAGGGGCACATGCCCCGTACCCCTCTCCTGCACTGTCTGCACCACTTGATGACGTCGAGTGAAGGTGGGAAAAGGTGCGCTTTTAACCCTCTCTGAACGGTGCGCCACTAATGCTCATGCTCAGCGACGATATTTTTGCACATTATTTGACAGATTCGCTCGTAAAATCTTATGTTCATTTACACCTTATTGGCTGTTAACATATTCCCCTGGCAATTCACAGCTCACCTTCACGTGTTTCAGTAATCTGGAGCTTCGACAGATCAACGATCAGATGGTCGGCGTCGAGAGATCATTTGTCGATCCAAACGATATTCTGGTCACGGAACAAAACCGGTCAGCTAAGCGATGTTGTACCGCACTTCCACACGGGAACCGATAATCCCATGCGTTTCGATGAGTTGTTTTGTAACCGTTATATGCCTCATTGACGCCCGTTGTTTTCTACCATGGCTCAGCCAGCGCCAGTCAGTGTCAGCGTGGATGACGTCAGCGTCTGAGCCCAGTCCCGCCAATGACGTCAGCGTCTTGGGCCGTTCCAGTGAATGACGTCACCACCCGTCTCCCTCGATCGACGTCACTGCCTTAGCCTGGTCTCAGTTATTACGTCACCTCCCGAAGCCAGCCCCCGTTGGTGACGTCACCGTCTCACTCTGTCGAGCATGTCATGTTATTGGGGCTTTACGACGCACTCAGCTGCTGAGGCTATATGGCGTCGCCTGCCTCTCACCCTGGCAGGAAGGGCGGGCACCGCGGGGAATCGAACCCCGTACCTCTGGGAAACCAGAGGTGCGGGGTTCGAGGTACCGGCACCCCCTGCCGAACATGCAGCTGACGACAATCTCCGCGTTGGCAGGAACGTCGTACTCGGCACAGACCCGGACCACGAGTACAACGGCGTGCTGTTCCCAGACGTGGTAGACGCTGCTGCACGTCAGCCAGCAGCCGGAGCGGCCCGATCTCTGGCAGTGCGTGCGTCGCGCCCTAGCCGCCGCCATCTTTGTGGTGAACGGCGCCGCGGCATTGCTGGCCGACCCAAGTCATTTCGTGCGGCCCTGGCCAGAGACTGAGACGACCCTGACCAAGGACTGAGGCGGCCCTGGCAGGGGACTGAGGCGACTCTGGACCGGGTCTGAGGCGACTCTGGACCGGGTCTGAGGCGGCCCCGACCACAGACTGGGGCGAATCTGGTCAGGGACTGCAGCGGCCCTGACCGGGGACTGAGGCGGCTCTGAGTGGGGACTAGGGCGACCCCACCGTTGCCTTGACGCCTCCACTGGCGACAGGGAAAACCCGACGCTAAGCTGGCAGGGATTCTGTGCGGAGGTACTTTTGTCACAGCCTCACAGACAGTCTATATGCGTATGCGTCACAAGGGTAACATAAGGCGCATTTACATAAGCTCCCAGCAACATAACTTCAACGACGTGGGTGTCGTTACATGCGTGCACGCATGCACAATTTAAGCTTGTGGCAGTCTCTGAGGCCAGTGTGGGTTACGAGCCTTGCGTTAAGATGTCGCGGGTACGTACAATTACTTTGCAGCCCGGGTGTGTTCATAGGAGCCCCTTCCTAATATAGTGATAATGATATGTATGTCATTCCATGTCGCTTATTTGTGTAGTAACGATGTAGCATGTACTGATCTGTCGGCACGTTGCATAATGTAAGTATGCCATATGTACTGCACCTGCGTTTACGATTTCTTTTAACGTTCCCTGCGAGACTGAATGTCATCCAACTTTAAAGGTGTCAATACAAGTGTCTTTCGAAGGGCGTCGATTGGCGTAAATGTTTTTTGGGGAGGTAGAGGGGTGAACAAAGGCTCGGCAAACTAGTCCTCTTCAAAGGCGTGTCTGAAAGGACTTGGTCTATTCCATTTTTACGAAAGGCAACCTTTATTTCTTGTACCTCGGTGTCATTGAGCAGTCATTTATTTCAGTAGCCTACTGACCAGGGCTATCAAACGGTTCCCAACGAGAGAGCAATTATTGGGCAGTGTTGAACCTTTTTCCCAATTTCGTCCGGGCGTCAAATATTCCGTGGAAAATATTGGCCGGTTAATTCAACATTGGGGCTCCAAATTAAGAGGGGGGGGGGGCACGAGCCCCACAAAAAACACAAATGGTTGCCCCTGGGCTTTTCCTAAGGCTGACCAGAGTGAGATATTCTTAAGCATGCCTAAGGGCCGCGAAAAAATTGCGCCTGAATACTGATCACCGAAATTCCGATAACGCTGCCGCACAATCGATGCAGAAATATCGTTTTTGGAAACTGCGTACCGAGAGCAATTATGAATTTGTACCATTTGGCAGACCTGAGAACACTTCCATTCTGGACGTGCTGGTAATGTATGTTAAATGAAAATGTAACAAGTGTTTGGGTGGCCTCACAGACCTCAGGGTGTATAAAAGCATTTTGTTACGATGATAAGCTGTTTATTGTCCACGATGATAGAGAGGTCCGTTTCAGTCGTAACCACACCTGGCGGCGCGGCCCATTTGAGGGGAAACGGAGGTGGAGACACGGACACACGAAACGCACCAGGCCCGCCGGCGTTGGGTCCTGAGTCAGCGGGGTCCACTGGCTTCACCGTAGTCATCCTTTAATTCGGCACCATTTGGTGTCAGGCGGGGTTCTAGTTTCCAGAACGTAGACTGCGTCCTGCGACGCCCCCTGCTGATCAGATCTGACAATGGGATGACCTGGACCCGACAGCATCCGGCGACGGTTCGGCGTTCATCGTGTCCACTGCAGGGTCGTCAGTGGACCTGACGCCGCCCGGTGGTCGAGTGGAATCCACCGTCGACGCCGCGCACATGGCCAGCGGACCAGAGAACAGACGGTGGCTGGGTGGAACCCACTGGCTCCGCTGCGGCCATCGGCGAGGGAAGAAAGCTACATCCTGCGCTACATTCCCAAACAGCTCACAGATTCTCGGAACTCAAGCCGCAGATATACGCACACAAAAGTCCTACGATACTAACAACGTGGTAACTGAAAGACAACATCGATGTGTAAATAATATAGCAAATAATGGCCATTAGCATGGGATTCGGCAAATAAGATTCTAAGCAATGTCCCTTCATAACAGGAAACGTGATGAAGTATTCGGTTCCAAAGCACAGTGCAGGTCGCAGTGCGCCCACGTGACTAGCGACACGGACATGTCTCACTAAGCACACCCCGTAGTGCCGGGCCTAAAAGTATGCCCGCTGGCGCACTCACTCGTTGGGCTCCCCCCCCCCCCCCCTTGCACATCAGCAAGCTGGTGGCAGAACCAGGAGCTAACCCGATGCCACCATCGCTTGAGGCGGGACAGCTGTCCCGCACCGGTGGCACCACCTCCCGCCATGCGACGAGTGCGATCGACACCACAGGCTTCCGTACTCAGCACCGACGCACAGAATAGCGCACAAGCCCGCCACGATCCCACGGCAAAACGCGCTAGCGTGACTGCAAAACAAAACACGACCAGACCACGCGCCTCGGAACGAACGGTGAGCATCACATAATGAACTAGGCCCATGGCGTCGGAACGTAAAGCTCGCGGAGATCAGCGTGGCACGATAAAGAACGGACCAATCAGCGTCGGCGGTGCGGGCGGTGGGCGGGCTTCCCGCAGCGGCCGCGCGGCACGCTACGAGAGGGCGCACTCTCCTGCGGCGTCGGCGCTGAGCCGGTCTCATTGGCTGGCCGTGATAGAGTTCCGACCGCCAGAGATGCGGCGTCGGCGGCCCTGCTTCGACCTGCGGCAGCGGCAGCACTGAGACACGCTATCTCCGACTGTCAGCGACGGCAGCGGCAGCACTGAGACACGATATCTCCGACTGTCACCAACGGCAGCAGCAGCACTGAGACACGATATCTCCGACTGTCAGCGACGGCAGCGGCAGCACTGAGACACGATATCTCCGACTGTCACCGACGGCAGCAACAGCACTGAGACACGATATATCCGACTGTCAGCGACGGCAGCTGCGCACGGCGGGACATCAGGCAGCCACATAGGGGAGACTGCAACGTGAGGTGTCCAACCTGCGGCCGGACGGAGTCAGACGACTCGCAGCGCCACGCACTTGGATGGCTGCTGGACAAAGGCGACTATCCCTAAACCCGGCACAGCCGCAGTTGGCATCTGACAGAGGCAGGGGAGGACCCGTCTGGCCCCCGCCGCAGCCGGTTAGCCAGGCGCGCAGAGCCGCCACAGAGCCGTCACAGAGCCGGCACAGAGCCGTCACAGAGCCATCACGGAGCCGCCACAGAGCCGTCACACTTACCGGATCTGTCCGGCCAGCAGGGGGTTCATGGCGTACAGCCACTCGTACAGATCCCTGGCCGGGTCCTTGCCCACGGCCTGCAGCAGGTACTGGCGGTGCTGTGTCGACACCCTGAAACGGCGCCGCCAGCTGCTGTCGGACGGGCATGGCGGCCTCGGATCGGCACGAGGGAGGCACCTTGTCGGCACTGCCGGACGCAGCTAATGGAGACTACCCAACGGAGCGCAGGCTGTCTGTGATGCACATCTCTCTTACTTGTACAAAGCACATATTTCAAGCCAGATCACATGAAAAGGTCAGCGTCTCTTATCGCAGTAGCTCTACGAAAAGCCGCCGCGCGCTTCGCACAGCCTCACGCGCTGAGCAGCGCCAGTGTCACGACCCGGGCCTGTGCGTGCCCCGGCACCGGCGCCGGCTCCCGCGCGGTCGCCCTGCCGTCTGCCGGACGGCCGCGCGCACCTGAACGAGTTGGGCACGTCGTCCGCCAGACCGTCGCTGAACTCAATCTGAGCGGTGGCCAGATTGATGAGGCCACGCTCCACGGCATCCTTGGCATCGCGGAACAGGAACACGTACGGTCGACGCACCACCTGCAGGAGGGGGGGGGGGGGGCGTTAGCCGGCGGACGGGGGTGGCCGGACGCACCCAGCCAGCTACTCGCATGGCGGCTTACAGGCCGCGCGGCTCTCCGCAAGGTTATGTTCGACTCATCCTGGAATCCTGTGATACCGAACCCGTCCCGCCTAGATATCAAGTAAAGGTAAACCGAGACGTGATTATCGCGCCGTGGAAACGAATGAAGAGCTCGAAATGGTCACTAGTGTAATGCCCACTCTTTGTCTTTAATACTCCTATTCCACGACTGCGACTTCGTCTGAGGCAGATCTGGATGGCAAAACAACCAGTGATTGAGCCGAGCTACTCGCCAGCTACTATTTGAAACCGTTGAGTCCCGAGCCAACGCTTGACTCAAGCTACCCACCAACCAGCATCTGAGCTTGGTTACTCACCTGCCAGCATCTGAGCCTAGTCACTCGCCAGCCGGCATGAGCCCAGTCACTCACCAGCCAACATCTGAACCCAGTCACTCACCAGCCAACAGTCTGAGCCCAGTCATTCACCAGCCAGCATCTGAGCCCATCCACCAATCAGCCAGCATCTGAGCCCATCCACCAGCCAGCTGGCATCTGAGCGCGGTCACTCACCAGCCAGCGTTTGAGCCACGTCTGCGTGAGCTCCTCGAACACGAGCAGCGGGCCGCGGCGGCTGACGGCCGGCGAGACGCGGATCTCCTCCAGCTCGGCGCAGAAGAGCGGCCCGGCCGGCCGCTCGCCGCCCAGTGCCAGCGGCGAGCCGGGAGAGGTCAGCGGCGACATGGCCGGCCGGCGTCCGCCCGCCGGTCCCTCCGGCAGCAGCGAGCTCGGCCGGTCGCCGCTCCACAGGCTGGCGGCGCGCGCGCGTCGGTCACGCTCGCGCGGTGTACGGGTTACTTGAAGTTCAGACCGCCCTGGCGGATTGCGATCGAGCGCGTGCCGTATTATATGCGTCGATCAGATCGTGTTCCTCCCCGAGAGCAAACAGAGCGAGCGGAAAGGCCAGCCATGTAGGTGTCCTCGCATACGCCGGAAAACACCAGCGAAGGAAAATCCCGTCATTAGAAATGCACACAGATGAGCCAACGCACAGATTCAAACCGAGACAGGACAAAGACCGACCAGTGACCAGCATGACGGCGCGTCCCGGAGGACGGCCAGCTCAGGCTGACACGTACAGCCGATGGCATACCTCCCTCTCCACTAATGTGGAGCCCAGCACCACACCACCGCGGCCGTCATAGCTGAACACAGGCGCGCCGCCAGCAGCGCGCTACTCACGGGGTGTCGGCGGCGGTGGGCTTGGTGCCACAGGCCTCTGCCGGCGCCGCAGGCTGCTCGCTCGCGGCCCCTGGCAGACCCAGTATGGCCTGCAACAACGGCCAGCTTCCAACAGGCATGCCCGCGGCTTGCGATCAGTCCCCGTACGCTACACCGGGCAAGGTATGCTTCAGCACGCCTGTGACTGGCGCAGAGCTGCAGAGCGTCCATGACGCCACTTGACGCCACCTGTCTTGCATTTCGTATGTCATACTTCTAGATTGGTAGATGGGCATAGGCAGGGCAAAGGCAGAGCTGTCCAGATCTGGTACGTTCGTGGTACGTGTATATATATATATATATATATATATATATATATATATATATATATATATATATATATATTTATACATACATGTATATAAACATATATGCATATATAGATATATAGATATATAGACATATTTATAAATACATGTATATAAACATATATGCATATATAGATATATAGATGTATAGATATATATAGATAAATATAGATATAGATATAGATATAGATATATATATATACATGTACACAAACATATATGCATATATATATATATATATATATATATATATATATATATATATATATATACACACACATATACATATAGGACAAATTAAAATTTGACACGACGTCCACGGTCCCTTCGCTTCCCTGTCAGAGATCAGCATAATGGGCATCTGCCACATATTTTAGGAGTTTCATGACTTCGCTTTCGCCAAGCCAGATTACAGGATCGCTGTCCTGTGTTGAAAAGTGCAAAACTTGACCATATTGGGTAATAAAGCAACGCCAGAAGGCTGAACACACTTCTATTCAGAGATTCATAAAAGTCCCGTCCCAAAAGCGGGCACAACCTCCATGTGTAGGGCAATTTTACATGTCACGACAGGTAAACGTTGTGGCAGGCAAAATTGTAAAAAATAAATAAAAGCATCGCCCCTCTCCCTAGTCATGGCACGGCGGGGGTACGTGTCGCCGCCGCCCGCACCTGAGCGTCGTGTCCGAGGATGAGGCTGACGTATTTGGTGGCGATGCGCCGCTCGCGCTCCGTCATCTCCCACGGCTCGTACACGGCCTCGGGCGGAGTGCGCGCCGACGGCGGCGCCACCGACGCCACGCGGCCCTCACTGCTCGCCTTCGCCACCTGGTTGCATACGTCCTGGCGGCGGAGGGCAACGGCGGAGCTGTCCAGAGCTGGCACATTCGTGGATTGGTGCCCGAGGGCATCTGTGCTCAACAGAGGCGCGGCTCTTAGAACGTTTCTGAGAGAGATGAGAGAGTTTAATATGAATGCAAAATAATGGTTTCTATGCCGTGCTAAAACGCTGTGAAGTGACGGATGACGCGCTACATTCAAGAGGAGAAGCAATGGCTCTGGTGGTCAGCTCATCTGCGTGAAGACCGAGCTTCAGAGGCCGCTGCTGTTTGCCCAGAGGGACGCATATTCAACCCCAAATCCCCCATAGGCTCGATGCCATGGACCAGTCTGGCATGACTGCCCCATCTCGACACAGCGGCCCGCGCCAAGCCTGCAGCACGCCGCTCACACGAGGGCCGTCAGCCAGCGGGAGGGGGGGGGGGGGGGGAGGGGCGCCGGCGGCGGGGGAGGACAGGAAGCACCGGCGACGGGGGAGGACAGGGAGCGCCGGCGGAGGTGCGGCCCGACACCGCCTGATCCCACTCTCACCTTCTCCGACTTGCTGAACTCGTGCGCGTGGATGGGCAGCCGGTCAAGGCCGAGCTTCTCGCGCAGCAGCAGCAGGTGTCGCGTGCGGCCCACCTCCTCCAGCCGCGTCAGCTTCTCCAGCTCCCACTGGTGCTCGAAGAGCAGGCTGTCGCCGCGGGGCCGCCACCCCTCCAGGTTCTCCTCGCCGCGCACGTACGTCACGCTGGTGTCCAGCACGCGACGCTGTCGGCGGCTGGCGCCTGACGAACGCACACACGTCACGCTGGTGCCCAGGACACGCTCTTCAATATACACCGCGTCACGCATGAGTGCAGTTACGGTCACCCACAAGTATGAACAGGACTATTGTGTGCATAGTATCCTACAGAAGTCACCATCAGCCATGACAATTGCACACTGTCACGGCACCTGGAGAAACAACAAGATGCAGGCGAATCCAGACTAGCTATGTGCTATGCATGACAATGTAAGCGAGAAGCATGCAGGTACTGCTTGCGATTTCCGCACGCTTATGCTCGCAGACCAGGCAGGATGATTACATGTCCATGACATGTGTACAGAAAGTAGACCGATCTCAATTACCACGTGGCTACCGAACAGCCATACGCAATATAACTAAGCCTAGAAAACACATCTGGGTAGCGCGGCGTAAGACCGAGCACAAATCGGATTCTATGAGCACGCTTTGTTGCAGCTGAGTCTGGCGTACAGCATTGGCTCCAGTCTCATGAACAAACTGCAACTACCATCCCAAACTGCTCCTGCTTCGTAGGTGCGACCGTGCCTACCGGCGAGCGAGCGTGTTTCGTGACCGCACCTCCCGGCAGAGTAATACGTGTGTCTGCGCGTCGAGGCGTGGCCGTGAAGCGCCGCCCCCTGTTTTTGTGTGAGAGCTGTGTGGGATCAATCTGCATGCGGATAAGGTTGTGTGTGAAAAATACTGAGAACGTTGGTAGTAACTATCTCCATAGGAACTCCAATGATCCACCCTCCCTTTAATTACCTTCGAGGCACAATTATGGGTAAATACATAGCTAAATTACACGCGCGCAACCTTTGGGCCTAAACATCAACTAAATCCTTACAACTACACGCCGCACAAAATGGCAAGGCACCAGTGGCCTGCAACATTTCGACTCATGAAACTAGTTATTGGGCTATCTCCAGCGTTTCACAGGCGCCTACTGAACATGCACGTTAATTCAACTACAGCATTTCGTCGGCGTCTACGCATTTGTGCCTACGCACTACCAAAATCACCCTTGCCAAATGCTTGTACCTGAGCTCGTGGCTACAGTCTGTAGCCGTGTCTTTATCGAAGTACCTGCGTATTTGTGTGTGCCGGAAGCCCGTCCCGTTGGTGCTGTGTCCATAATCGAGTCCGTGTCCGTGACCGAGTCCGTGTCCATGACCGTGTCCATGTCCGTGTCCGTGTCCGTGACCGTGTCCGTGTCCGTGACCGTGTCCGTGTCCCGTGTCCGTGTCCGTGTCCGTGTCCGTGTCCGTGACCGTGTCCGTGTCCGTGACCGTGACCGTGACCGTGACCATGTCCGTGTCCGTGTCCGTGTCCATAGACGAGTCCGTGTCCGTGACCAAGTCCGTGTCCGTGACCGTGTCCGTGACAGTGACCGTGACCACGTCCGTGACCACGTCCGTGACCACGTCCGTGTCCGTGTCGGTGGCTAAGCGTCTCACGTTTATCTGCTCCACAGACTGTCTGTGCCGTCATCGGGCCCAGCCTGCCCATTAGGTTGCCAAACCATCGGACCTTCGCACGCGTGGACCCCTTACGCCTGCCGTCCACGTCTCAGTGTCGGCATCTAGGCGCGCGGGTCAGCCGCCGCGCCCCGGCGGCTCCGTGTCTACCTGCTACCTGGACTACCTGCGCCGTCGGCGGCCCGTCGTAGGCTCAGCTCGTAGACGCCCGTCAGCCGGTTGGCATCGCAGCTGCGCAGCGCGCCCAGGAACAGGTGGCGGAAGGTACGCGGGGCCGTGCGCGCCTCGCGCCCGTAGATCGTCATGCACAGGTTCTTGGTGACGATGGCCGGCTGAGTGCAGTTGGCCACCTGGCGGCGACCGGCGGCGGCGCATCAGACGCGGCGCGGCGGCCGCTAGGGCACCGCACGACGGGCACCCGACCTGGACCCAGCGCCAACGGGACGTGTGACCGGACCGGCGGCGCCGGCCAGTACAGGCGCCTTCGGCCGGGAGAAGACAGGCAGAAGTGGGATCCGCACGGCCAGCATGACGACGGCTCAGACTACAGACGCCGCTCACGCCGTCAGACGTCGGTGTGTTCCCAGATACTGCGGGCTTACACATCACGCGTTGCAATGCCCTTAAGTAATGCCGACATCAGCACCGACACCGCTTTGAACGAGTCACGATACCACAGCTCGGCCGTTTGCCCCGCCGGGTGCGACAGTGACCTGGAAGCGACACACGGCCGGCCCTCACCTCCAGGTAGGCCGAGATGGTCATGTAGACCACCTCGCCGTACGGCGTGACGCGGTTCAGCAGCACCGAGTTGTGCAGGGACGAGTCCCAAGCCGCCTCGAATCGGAATATGGTCCGCGAGTCCCCTGGCGGCGGCGGGGCAGAACGGTGTGGGGCGCAGCGGGTCCGGCGGCGCCCTGCCGAGGACGCGGCGAGAGCGGGGCCGTCGAGCGGAGGGGAGCCGGCCTCCAGCGGCGGCAGGTCAGAACGGTGTGGGGCGCAGCGGGTCCGGCGGCGCCCTGCCGAGAGCGGCGAGAGCGGGGGTCGAGCGGAGGGGAGCCGGCCTCCAGCGGCGGCGGTCAGAACGGTGTGGGGCAGCGGGTCCGCGGCGCCTGCCGAGACGGCGAGCGGGGCCGTCGAGCGGAGGGGAGCCGGCCTCCAGCGGCGGCAGGTCAGAACGGTGTGGGGCGCAGCGGGTCCGGCGGCGCCCTGCCGAGGAGGCGGCGAGAGCGGGGCCGTCGAGCGGAGGGGAGCCGGCCTCCAGCGGCGAGCTCGTGCCCGCGCGGGTCCCGGTGCTTTGGTGGGGCTACCACAGCGGGCGCGGCACAGGGGGTGTTCGCCGTGTCACAGGCATGCCAGCGACTGTCGGGTGGACGGCGATGTCGCGGGAGCTTCAACTCAGCCCACGCTTTCTTTTGGCGCGACGCATAGGAAGCGGCTGACTGTGACGTAGGCACTGGGTTTGCGGCTCCGTTCACTGACCTGCGTACTCCATGTACTCGCCGGGGAACAGGCCCAAAGAGAGGACGGTCGTGTCATTCTCGTCGTCCTCCTCGAACTCCACTGTGTTCCGTATACGACCTGCCGACGCAGCAGCACACATACTGTCACCGCTGCGAGGAACGTCTGTGACGGGGTGTTGTAACAACATAAAATCTCGTAGTCAAGGCTTTCCCGATGAGGGCGTCATTCAACATCTTACTCGGCTTGCAGTTGCCGAGCCAAGTTTCATTTCCACGTTGCATTCTTCCGTCAATACACATCACATACAACTTATCATCACAAAAATCCCGTGCAACTGCAGGCGTCGTGCAGTGAAACCGTATCCAACACACAGTAATACCCGGCACAAGCAGTGATGCATTACTACATACGCCAACAGGCAGGAGTGCTGAAGGGGGTGCCGATAGTGCAGCGGTCAACGCTTCTGCGTAACCGCTACGTGTCTGGGAGACCGGAGGTACGGGTTCGATCCCCCCGGTGCCCGCCTTGCTGCCAGGGTGAGAGGCAGACGACGCCATATAGCCTCAGCAGCTGAGTGCGTTGCAAAGCCCCAACGATGATGACGACTACATGAATGCCAGAAAGAAATTGCAGCCTCTCATCAAGGACGACACCATATAGGCGGAAGCCGGACGTTGCTTTGAAACCCTGACGAAAACAACACAATGCACACGGGGACAAAATTCACTGCGCGAGCAGAAGCCAGGGGGAACCACCGCCGCGCGAACGGCACCAGCACGCCAGCCCCCCCCCCCCCCCCCCGTGTGGCAGCCGTAGGCGCCGCATCAGCCGGACCCCGAGGGGCCGGCGCCACTCGCCGCACCCACCGACCACCAGCTCGCGCACGTCGCTCCACTGGACATCGGGCGTGCGCTCGTGCACAACGGTGACGCGCAGCCGGCGCTGAATGCCCTGGTGCAGCAGGAACTGGCCGCCGGTCGGCAGCTCGTCGCAGTGATCCACCACGGCCGGCACGTACTCGCCGCTCGGTGCTGCAGCGGAGCGGGGCGCACGTCAGCTGCGGCGCGCTCGGCCAGCGGCGGTGAGCAGGCAGCAGTGGGCTCGGCCGCGTGTCCACCACACCCCGCAGCGGTAGTGAAGAGATCGCGGACAGTCGACCATTTTGACGGTGTTTGAAATGACTTCCGTGAGGGCTAATCGAGCGCGGAACATTGATTAATTAATATCACGTAATTAACTATATATATACATATATATATATATATATATATATATATATATATATATATATATATATATGGTGGCTTTCACCGAGGTCAGCTGGTAGTTTTATGGTCTCTACAGCATACTTTTTCTTCTGGCCCGTAGGGTTCATGCGTCCAAATCTTCTGAAAGTCATCTTCTACTCCGTAGATTTCCCTGAGTGACATCACGCGCTAGCTTATATTATCGACTTTCGCCGATCTATGCGCTGATTCTCGTAACAGAGCGGACCTTCCAGTGTGTATCGGGTCAACAGTGTTCCGCACGGCACGCCGCCAACGTCCCAATATCCGAGCTAACCTGTGCGGTCTCGGTGCCGTCGTTGGTAACGCGCCGTGCCCATAATCAAGAGGTCGGCCTTTAGATTCTAGCCGGCCTTTCCGCTAGTTGCTAGTGGACTATAGTTTTGTCTTGTTTTGTTAGCAAAAGATTCGCACTGCATACATAATGCAGCACCGGCCTGATAGTGTAATGCAGACTCAGGACATGGCATTCATCTAAATCAAAATATGTTCTCTATCAGTGTCTGCGCCACGCTGCATAAAGACAGGCAACAACATGTGCCGCGGAAATAAATCTTCTGAACCACCTGTGAAGAAAATAAGTTTCCAGCACCAGGATGAAATTTATCTACTATGCTGCGTTCTTCCGTTGTTATTTTAGAAAAAAACACATCGTCGAACCCATCAGATCAGATAAGTCCAGATCAGAGGTTGGGCATGGTTGCTTGCTATTACGAAAATAAGACTGGTAACCAAAATTTAAGAATAACACCATAGCCGAGCATGTGAATGCAAGGGCACATCTTCAAGTCACGGATAAAATGAAAGAACACATCTTTAACTCACGGATAAAATGACACATCGGACACACGGACACATCGTCAAGTCACGGATAAAATGAAAGAACACCAAGAAAAGAGGGCCAAACACGAACATGTAACGATATTTGGCTCAGCAAAAACCTCTATTAACGCCAAGACCACCTCTCGGGAGATTGAAGTACTAAAATTAAGTGCTAGGGTGGCAATTTCGCACGGCCTATTTGGCAGCACCTCAACGTTATACAGACGTTCCATGATGCAGCCAGACAACGGCGAATTGAGGAGCATATTGGCTAACTAGGGAAGCTTTTGTCGCCTAGAAACATTATTTTCCACTTAGAAGTATATCAATTGTTAAAAGTGAGCTTATTTCGTAACAGCTGACGCTTGATACAATATCTTGAAATTACGAACATTCCCTTTGAGTGCAGCCCTTTTTCTACCCGGAACCAAATGAAAAGGATTATTTCGAACGGAGCGATCACGCACACCGGAAGGTCGCAGGCTTGTCTCACGCCCGAGACCGGTCACCCCAGTGAGTAGGAGGCAGCGTGAGCGCGGCGGCGGCCGCCACTGACCGAGCTCGCAGATCTCGAACCACACCAGGATGTCGTGACGCGCGTGAACGTGGGCCGAGCAGTGCTGCTGCAGGGCGCCGAACTTGGCCGAGCGCACCGGCAGGCTGATGGGGATGGCGAGCGGCTGTAGCCGGCGTGGCGGCGGCCGGCTGCGGCGGCCGGCAGACACGGGGTCAAGACCAGGCCTAACGGCTGGTGCGCCACATACGCAGCGGCCGCGGAGACCAACAGACCGCCGGCCGACGGCCAGGCGCGAGGAACGACTGACCCTCATCTGTATTACCGCACGACCGCCCGACGGCTTCAAGGCGGCTGCCGCGCCGATGGTTGCCGCAGGTGAGGCGGCGCGTGGTACTTTGGCGATGGGCAGAAGCACATGACACGCGTCGCGCGCGGCAGTCGACGCGTTCCTTCGGGCGACACTCACAGACAAGAGTCCATCCTGGAGTCGTTGTGCAGCGGGTGCTGCTGATAATGGCCGAACACCTCGAACACCAGCGGCTCCGTCTTCAGATAGTCGACGAATGACCGCGTCACCGCCACCGTGATCTGTCAGGGTGCAGGCGGGCGGCTCAGCCAGAGGCCAGCGTTTGAGAGGGACACTGCGGAAGGCCGCCTGCCGGCAGCTGGAGAAGACCACTCGAATGCTGAACACAGAAACGACATGGAATTTACCAACGCGTCAAAGGCAGAAGAGAAAAACCGCTCAGCTGAGTCTGTTATGCAGTTACGCACAGCTCCAGATGTCTGAGCGGACTGCCAGCGGAAACAGGTACCAACACCTACGTTCTGGACGTGGTAGAACCCGATGGGCGCAGCGCCCGAGTTCTTGATCGGTTCCGTGGAGAACGCTTCATCCTCACGATGCCGGAACCTGACGGAGACAGTTGTCTGAGCCCGAGAAACGGCAATCAAAGGCAATCAGAGGTGCGGCCGGTGTGGAGCGTCGTGCAGGGGAGCGCTGATGGAGGCTGGCACGAGCACTACACGCGCCCGCGGCTGGGCGAACGCTACCCGCTGCATGAGCGGCTCCTGCAAGCCTCAGGAGCATGGACGACAGCGGATCAGCTTAACGGGTCCGCAATATCAACAGGGGGAGCTCCGCTACCTAGCAAGCCGCTTGTTCCAGTCAAACGCCGCAAGAGATACCCGAGACAACAGCAAAGACAGCGACTTCCTCGATAAGCAAGGATAGCGTCTACCACGGCACGGTGACCCTGGACAGCGGCTCTTGCCGTGACGACCGGCAGATACGTGCTGGAACAGGACCGCGCGTCCCGGCCGGCACAGCGTCCGACCACGACCCTGCGTCTGGTCAGCGCCTCAAGCCGGGCTGTGCAGGGGTGGTTCGCCGCTCTCCTGCCTGCCGCTGGCGAGCGCGAGATCGTGACGACACGCACACATGGAAGTGGCACGCGCCGTAAAACGACCTTAGCTCAAACTTAGAAATGCACTTTACACGAGTTGGGCGACACACGGCCGTCTTACTTGAACTGGCAGAAGACGTCCGAGTAGTCGCTCTGTATGCCCATGCCTTGGAGCACGGTGACCCTGAAGGTGAACTCTCTGCCGAGGGCCATGTGTGGTGGCAGCTGCTCCTCGGCTTCCTTCTCAGAGTCGCCGCGGCCGCTGTCCGCGTCATTCTCGGCGTCTCCTGCGAACGGAGGCGTGTCAGGCGTCTGCCATCCCCCCCCCTACAGCAGGGGGGAGACGACGGCCAACCCAGCTGGCAGGCAGGTGCCGATCGAGAACACCGCTAGCCGCCGGACGCGCGCGGCCGGCTGCAATGCGGGCCGAGTTCTGGCAACAGCGTTCGTCTCGCGCCAGACGAACAGGTTGAGGAAGAAGAAATAAAATGGGACGACAGAAGTGACGTAGGGAATGCTTACGGCGCAACTGAGACGTTGGTGGTGAGAAATGAGGACGGATGGGTGAGGAATGCCACTTTTGCCATCCGCGACAGAGAAGAAAGGTGCCCCCACGGTAAGCGTGGAGTCAAGAAGGGCGAGAGAACACGTACGGCACCGCTTTCATGAAAGCTGGAGAGAATGAAGCAGCCGATCTCCGACGGCGTGTCAGCGTGTCACTTGATGACACCGCACTGGCTGAGCTGCCGCGGCAGCAGCACGAAGCGGCAGCCCTCTCGACAAAATGTCACCGAAGCCGACACGACACTCGGTCTCACTGATCGCCGTCTCAGCCGGCTGTCATCGCCCAGGTCTCTCGCGCAGCCCGAGCCTCGTCGCCCTGTCCACCCTCCCGCTGCCGGCGCACGGTCCGCGCCCCCGGCCGCGAATTGCGGCGGCACGCCCTCACGTGTGCTGGCGGCACCGTCCGGCAGCCGCTCGTCGGGCAGCTGCAGCGGCGGCGGCGGCGGCGGTGGCGGCAGCGGCTCCGACGGCGGCTCGTCGACGAACGTGATCCGCGCCGACTGGCGCACGCCCGACGAGCACTCGAGCGCGTCCTCGTCTGGGCGGGCGGCCGCGCGTCAGTGGACGCCGGCTCGGGACCGACACGGGAGTCCGAGGCAAACGACGGCATTCGACCCACATCGACTCGCGCGCGCGTTCACTCAGCTGACTCATGTACTGAGCAGCACTTCTGTCGCGGGTTAACGCAAAGGCGCGGAGCAGCACTGTCACTACCAGCAGCGCAAGTGCATTCATCGTACAACAATCATTTCACATGGACATCGAACTGACCGGTGGCAAATGTCACCTGTATCTGCAAAGTTTGTACGACGACACGCGTACACACACACGCACACACACACGAAAGACACTGACAAACGGTTTCATGAAACAAAGCGCTGACTCGTGGCGCCGGCGCTGCAGCAGTGCACAGCGCGGCGCTTGGGCAGTACAGCCCGATAGTGCATGGGTGGCGACGCCGTCCGGCGATCCGGGCCGACCCGGCCGCCGCTGCCCCGACCAACTGACCTAGCACGGCCTGGACGGCCACGCGCAGGTAGCCCTTGACGTCGCCGTTGGCGTTGACCACGGGTACCTTGTGCACCAGCGCCACCGGGTACAGGAGGTTGCTCAGATACACAAAACCTCTGCCAGGCGAAGAGAGTGGTTCGCAGTGAGACAGACGGGCACGGGCAGAGGGTGGGGGCCGGTCAGAAAGACAGGCAGAGAGAGGGCTGGCCGCTCGGGCCCGCTGCTCCTGCGTCTTTGCAAGCGTACACCTTCTGAAGGGCTGGGGTCATCGGCCACGGGGGCATCGCATGGGTGTTCTAAGAAACATCTCCTGCCATCCAGAAATATGGCTCCCACTAGACCACACAAAACCACCCCAAAACAGGAGAGGCCACTGAGCTATGACCACGCTCCACCTGGGAGTGGTGGCCCGCCTGTACCGGGCGCGGCAGTCGACCCCCGTCCGTCGCGCGGCGGCGGCTCAACAGCCGGCACGGCCGTCGAGCGGACGCCACTGACCTGCCGACCACCCGGAACCAGGGGAAGCGGTCGTAGAAGGGGTCGCCGCCAGTGACGTTGTCCACGCTGTGGTCCGGCGAGCTGGGACTGAGGTCCGCCTCGTTGTGGTACATCTCGCGCATCAGCTCCAGCCGCTGGCTGCCGGCGGGCATGCGGCGCACCGCGTCAGAGCCGACCGGACACTGGTCAGCAGCTGCTGCACCGGGCCGCGCCCGGTCAGAGACCCGATATCGGACCACGAACAGGTCGGACTGGGTCACAAGGTCAGGAGAGGTCAGGGCCGGCTGGCAGCAGGACGCGCGTGGGCACGTTTGGCGACTGGTCCGAGCGAGATCCACACTTCTGATGCATACTTCTGATTGGTTCACGGCCATGCTCAAGGTTGCGCCAAGGGCTCCATATCAGTAACGGTCAGTTTTGCAGCATGTTACGCCATGCCGTGTCAGGGTACTATCGCTTCGCAACGTGCCTCAAGTTTGTCTGCGCATTTGCAACTGAATACAACTACGGTCATATATTTATAAATTATGATGGCATTTGCCATAGCTGCTTTTGCAGAGATGCGGATAAACAAACACCTAATTTTCTAATGAAAAATTTGCGTTTTACAAAGTCATCTTTTCTTTATTTGTCATGTATGCTTCGCGAATTTCCACTCGAAGCAATCGGCATCAACCAGGACATGGCCAGCGCTGTGGCACCACTCGGCCTGGACTGACAATGGTGGAGAAGTTCACCATATACACACTGTCGTAGGAGCGTCTTACCACGGCCGTTTTTCAGGACGGCTTAGTGCGGCTGATGCTTTGAGAGCTTTCAAAATGGTTCCATACGCACTGTAGGAAGACTGCGGTCCTCCGCAGTATCAGTCAACTATAATGAGCAACAATTATTTGCCTACTACCAAAACACTGTTATACAACATAAGCAATACATTTCAGCCACTAGGAGCATGTATAACAATTCAGAACTTTGTACGACATAATAGCGTTTCGCAAATTTGAGTGCCGCATGCAGGACACTCAAAAACATTCTTCAGTGATTTAAAGCGTTCCATGCGGTAACCCTTCACGAAAAGTGGCTAAAGAAACACGAAACGCCAACGTGGACGACACGGGCACGCCTTGCGGTAAGTATCTGATTTCCGGCACGATGATGGCAGGGACATGCAGGTGCTAAATTGAAATGAAGAACGGTTTGAGAACAACCTCACGCCCAACCTCGAACACACTTGCTCGCTAATTGATAACATGCCGATTAGACCCTATCACTGATGATCTTCAAGCTCACTCTACGGAAAGTATAAATTCGATGCTTCCCGGCTGCTGAGACGACATAGCGTGGGAAGACACTCACAGTTGATACTGGAACACGGGTGCCCAGGGTTGCTCTACAACGTATTATATTCCGCACTGCGCGTTTTACACTGTCCTGCCTAGCTGTTCTGAAGGTGTTGAGAGGCTCACTTCATTCCCTTCCAGGCTCACTTCACTTTCACTTCTTGGAACTGAACTAAGCGATGCTAAAATGCCTTTCACACTGCACCATCATCGTCGCCGTAAATGACGATTGTTGACCTTGAAATTTGATGACAATCTTCATCCATTGTCGAGGTCGTGGTGCGTTGTATTATGGCCACATATGATTTGCCACTGAATCATCTAAGAGGATGAAAGTTGTCATGGTTTGCCTTGAGCCCACACTGGCCTCGCTTGTTTTGTATAGAACAGCTTCTAAGCACGAGTGATATGTGATAGATGCGGGCGCCAACTTACAGATAACGAGCCGCCACGAGCAGTCAATATACGCTGCTCAGGAGAGGATACGGCTATGTCTCTGGGTCCATAACTATCTACACACGACAGGCCAGTGCGCTATCAGGCGCGATTAACAAAATTTATTGTTCAATCCTATCAACGCAAGGCGGTCGATACCACTTGTCGTTTTAATCCGATCTTGCTGCGGCTTGCGTCGATAAAATCCCTCTTCATCGGTATACAAGACATAGAGGAAGAACTGTGCACCACGAAAGCAAGGGGATTACCTGCGCACAAAAGCAAAACAACACAGAACCAAATCAATTTCCCGTTGCTGACTGGTCCCCAGCAGTCGTCTGACAAAAAACAAGCGTCTGCCTCAGTTGATGATTTGCAATAAATCTGAAAACCTTTAGCGAAAGGCTACACCCCTCCGAATACCAGGCTATATTCGGTAAAGAATGCCGAACTGCGATGCGATCTCTCATATTCACCAGCCTTGGATTACAGAGAGCCGTTGAGCACCAAGTGGCTCTACCGCTGACATATACTGCATCCCCAGCCGACAGTCAGCCAAACACCAGAGCCGCGCCAGCCGGGCATCGCGCGACACACAACGCTCCCCGTGCTGCGTACGGTCACGAGACGAACCCGCAAACACGAGCCAGACAGCAGCAGCCGACCATCCCGAGCCCACGGCCCGCCAGCGCGGCGCCACCGCTGCCAGCACCACAGGCAACCGACGCCGGAGGGAGAGAGAGGTAACCGGCACCGGGGAGAGAGGGAGAGAGAGGGAGAGAGAGCGAGAGAGAGCGAGGGAGAGCGATAGAGACAGCGAGAGAGAGACAGAGCGAGAGAACGAGGGAGAGAGCGAGAGAGAGCGTGAGATGAACGCGAGAGAGAGAGAGAGACGAGAGAGAGAAGAAAAGAGAAGATCAGAAGACAGGAGAGAGAGAGATAGAGATTAGAGAAGAGAACAGAGAAGAGAGAGAAGAGAGAGAAGAGAGAAGAGAGATGAGAGAGAGAAGAGAGAGAGCGACGAGAGAGAGAGAGACGAGAGAGAGAGAGAGAGAGAGAGAGAAGAGAGAGCGAGAGGGAGAGAGAGAGAGAGAGAGAGAGAGAGAAAGAGAGAGAGAGAGAGAGGAGAGATAGAGAAGAGAGAGAGAGAGAGAGCGAGAGAGAGAGAGAGAGGAGAGAGAGAGAGATAGGAGGCGTGAGAGAGAGCTTAGATAGAGCGTGGAAGAAGAGCGTGAGAAGAGCGGAGATAGAGCGTGGAGAGAGCGTGGAGAGAGAGCGTGAGAGAGAGCGTGAGAGAGAGCGTGAGAGAGAGCGTGAGAGAGAGCGTGAGAGAGAGCGTGAGAGAGAGCGTGAGAGAGAGCGAGAGAGAACAAGAGAGAGCAAGAGTGAGCGAAAGGGAGCGAAAGAGAGTGAAAGAGAGCGAGACAGAGCGAAACAGCGAGACAGAGAGAGGGCGGCGGCCGCCGGGCCGGACACGTACGCGGCATCGGCGGCGGCGGGGTTCGGCTCTGACTCCGGGCTGAGCGGGCACGGGTCGGCCAGCGCCAGGCGGCACTGGCGCGCCAGCTCCAGCCGCCGGCTGCCGGCAGAGCCGCGCCGTCACGCCGTCACACCGCGCCACGAACGTCGCCAAGATTGGCGCTTGCCGCGCGCCGCCACACCACGCCACGAACGACGCCGAGATCGGCGTTTGCCGCACGCCGCCGGCGGTTCAGAAACCGCCTCTTAAGGGCATTACCCTACACAGAGGTGGTCAACGTGGTTCGAGTCCGTTCCCTCATGTAAAACAAACCCACGCCGGTGGCGACGTCATTTAAGAACACCATGGCGTCACCAACATCCACATCATGGCGTCACCAGCATGTATTTGTGAAATTTCTGCGCACGGCGCCTCGGACCCGGAGCCGTCAGCATCGGCGGCGCACCTCGCCCGAGGGCGGGACGGTGTCGGGCGGGCGCGTCATGCGTCCGATGTGCCCCTTCCCCCTCCCCCCTCCATCCTCCCGACGCGCGGCGGTTGTGCCCCGGATCGCTCAGCAGTATGCGCTGGATCTGAAGGAAGAACAGCCCCCGCATGAGGGATTTTGAGGTGAAATGCTCTGTCCAACGTACTTAGGGCTTATCTAGTCATTGCTCTGATAAGTGATAGCTCCATGAATGGAATTTGTGATACGCAACGTTTTCCATTGCATGCTTAGGCCCACTCGGCAAGCTCTGCGAGCGCAGCAGTGAGAGCATCCTGATCAAATTTTCTATATCGGGAGCAAGGATGGGAGCCATTCATGTCTACGCCCACCCACGCGGTGAGCCGGATAAATCTTGAAAAAATATCATGGAGATCACAAACTGGCCACTGCAGCCGGTATTTCCATCGACCACTCAAAGAAAACTATTGCAAAGTACCTCCCATAACATGATGAGCTTGATCAGCACCTCTAATAATGCGAGTACCCCCAAAATATGAATCAATTTGATTAAAGACTACAACATATGCAAGCCTGCTACTCATAGCGAACAGAAGCTTCACAGCTATTAGTGCAATCTAGCGCGGCTTCCTAGTGCAGTCGATTATGTGGATGGCAAGCGCTCACTTCCAAACGTGATTTCCATCGACAACTGCTGTCGACGCGCCATGCATATCTCTACAACAGCTGGTCGCATCTGTTTCACGGCCAAAGGTTGGTTTCCAAACCCGGCAGATAATCCATACAAAGCCGCCAACATGGACACCCCGACATTCCGAGAAATCCCGTCAGGCGCTCGTGCACAACTCACCGTAGCTTCTCGATACTCCAGAAATGGGTGGCGCCGTTCTTCTGGTCCTTGACCTCGACGGCGACGATGGTGCGCGGGTAGGGCCGGCCGTCGGGGGCCACCTCCTCGTCGTCCTCGACGGCTGGAGCGAGGTCAGACGGCAGCGGACTGTACATGGTGTCCGTGACCAGCGTGAACTGGAACTGCACCTGCAGCCGGTCGCCGCGTTAAACCCACTGCCAATAGCGGCCGAGTACAGCGACGCCCGAACAGCATGCGGATGGCCGCCGGAGACAACCGTAGAAACGAGTCCGCATCTGTTCACAGTCGCAGCGGGGGCGCGTGGCAACGAGCTGAAACTGTACCTGACAGTCTGGAATATTTTTCGGAGTGGGGTGAATCAGCGAAAATTGACGCACGCCACGCACGACGGATCGATACGCTTTTAACTACACAGCCGGTCTAACGATAACAGCCGCGAGATAAACAGCAACATCCCTTAAAAAACCGCGCCTTTGCGATGCATATCGAGAACATTGTGTCTCTAAGCAAACAGCATACAGACGCATTCCAAATGACGGTATATAGATCAAATTACCCAGTCAACATCTGCTTTACAATGGGTCAAATCTCATGAGCAGGCTATGGGGCATGTGTGTTTCCCCGGACGTGCATGGCCCTCATGAGGCGTACACGGCAGGAAAATGAGCCGCCCAAGCTAAGGCGTCAGTCATTGGCACACCCAAACAGCTGCATCAACCGACAACACGCTTGCGCGCACGCCCAACCGTACCTTCTTCTTCAGCTCGACACTGATGGCGTTGGCCTCCTTGAGGAAGATGGCATTGCCCCAGAGGTCGTCTCGGAGCGACGTAAACTGATGGAAGCGCCACTTTTGGAAGCACGTGGCCGCCAGCTGGTAGTCCCGCTCCGTCCACACGACCTCGCCCTCGAACAGCGGATTCACTGCCGACAGCGGGGCGGCCCGTGACGCTCTCCGACACGTCACGCGGCCGCGCACGGCAAGGGACTCGCCACACGGGCATATTAACAGACATACAAGCTAACGCTGAGGCACACAAGCTTACGCCAGTATCATGGTTAGATGTTGTATGTGTGGTCATTCGTAAAATCTCTTTATTGTTGGAACTTTGTATGTAGAACTACAAGCCTATTGAGAACAATGTAGTAGCCGATGCAGACTTACTTCGGACAACAAAAAAGCTCCAAACGATTTTCCATATTTTACTTTTTATCATGGCGTGTTGAAATAACACAAAATGGCATCGCAGATCGTTCCTATCACAGAAAGCTTACGTAAGTTGCATTCATTTTGGCAACTGAACAACATGCAAACGACAAAGCAAGTTTCTGTGCGCCTGTAACACAGATTGTTATGCAGGCCAGTTGGAATTCACCAGCTTACCATACACATCGTCTTCGGGGACGAAGTCATCCGTTGCTGTGTAGGACGAGTACATGGACATAGTCATACTCTGCTCTTCAACCTGTTTTTGCAGAGCATCAATCTTGGCTTCATAGTTCTGTGAACGAAAACACCACAAACGTCAACGAAATCGCCGTGTGCAAATACATCGTTTAAATGTGTCACGCAGCCCACATGAAATCACACGAAAGCGTACGCAATACAAACGAAGCTGTTATTGCACCACAGCAATTACGAAGATGGCTGTTGGGCAACTATCATTAAAGACCCAACTGGCATCGTACCCAGTCTGATGACGAAAACACCTATTAACAGACGAACCATCTCAGAGTTCAATGTGCACCTGAAACTAAGTTTAATTCCAAACGCCTAAGGATCGCATCACACCAATTCGAAGACACGCATTGAGTGTTCACTGTATGTTCATTGTATGTTCATTGTATTGCATGCTATTGTCTGAAGACGAGCCCTCACCTTTCTTTCTTTCTCGAACTGCAGCTTACTTTCTTCTTTCTCCTTTTTGAATTGTTCCTCCATTGCTTCGAGTCGTTTTTCCATTTCCTTTTTTAAGTCGATTCCTACAAGGAAATTCTGCTGTAAGAAGCTGACAAATCTCCGCACACGGAGTGCAGCCAGCAACAGCAGCTTTCGTAACAGGACCAACATTTCAATGCTGATTTGTTTTTGTTTTCATTATCTATCACATTGTTTGGCCGGCAAGCAATTACCGGATACGTCATGGCAGGCCAAAAATACGACGTAACCGGCCAACACAAAACGAAAGTTCCAAACACGGGAAGAAACCAACGAAAGACAGAGCGAGCAGTCGAAAAGAGACTAGAAACCAAATATACACGTAGGGCTAGACAAACAAGGAATGAAACCAATTAGACGCATGACGTAACGTATAACACGCTGGACCGACTCCGCCAAAACAGGGTAAAACCGGACAAACGGAACGAAACGACCCAAACATGTGACCTTACCAAATAAACGGAGGACGGAACCGGTTGTACGAAGGACCGGACCAGATAAACACAGAATGGAACCAGTCAGGCGCAGGACGCAACTGGGAAAACCGCTCGGCCAAACAGAAGCGGTAAAAGATAGGACGGAACCAATGAAACGTAGGATAGCATTGGCGAAACGCGGACGAAAGCACGTCAGCGGTCAGGCGGAACCGATAAGATGGGACCAGCGAAACACACGAAGTCATCGCACGAGCACAGACCAAACAGACACCGGACAGCGCCGAGCAGCCACAGACAGATATAGGACAGCACCGAACACACAGAGGACGGTACCAGACAGACGCAGGACGATACCGAGCAAATCCCGGGCGGAACCAGACAGATACAGGGTGGTATTGGATAGACAAAGAGCGGCACCGGACAGATCCAGGACGACGTCAAACAGACACAAGATGGTACCGGACGGATACAGAATGATACCGGACACAGACCGGCACCAGACAAACAGAGGACAAACAAAGGAAGGACAGGACGAAACCAGACAGCCACAGGATGGTACCTGATAGCCATAGAACGGCACCAGACAAACAGACAAAGGGACGAAAAACACAACCAAACTGGGAAAATGACACAGACCTGACAAAAAAAAATGGGACAGCACTTACCAGCCAAAAACGGCCCAATGCACTTAAGAGCATTCGCAGGCCGACCACGCGAATGTGACAACATAGCATCAGACACGTAGCAATAGCAACAACTAGGTGTACCGTGCCGACGGTCGGGTTCGCACATCCATGACGAGCGCGCGACTGGGGCTCTCTACTCCCGTGCCAAGACAAGTACGCTCTCACACTATACACTTTGCACGACTTCAGTGCTAGGTGACGATAACGCTACATGAACACTATAAGAAAACACGAAGGCCGTTTCTGACAGACACTGGTGTGCACTGCATAATAATCACATCATATTTGGGTAGAAAATGCGGGGTAGCGAGTGTAGTGGCGCGCACATCAGCTCTAGTCGGGGTTAGTAGTGTACAAATTATCATGGTCATCACATAGTATGGCATGGTGTGGACATATTATAGTATCACATTTAAATGTGCTCATACCGGCAGTCTTGCCAAATCAGCTTTTCTCCGTGTTTTCCAGACGAGCATAACACACTATGCAGGGTGACTCCGCACACTACAGACAGTATGGGAGCGGGAGGTCAGCAGTGAGCCCGGCGGCGTACCTTGCTTCTCCAGCAGCTCCACCTGCGCGAACTGCCAGTCCACCGCCTCCGAGCTGGGCGGCTCGCTGGGCGACTTCTCCCGCCTCTCTCGCGCTGCCGACGGCACGGGCCCGGGTCAGAGGTCGCCGTCCGCGCGCCCCGCGGCCACCGCAGCCCCGCGGCGCCATCGGCCGGCCGAGCCGCGTCCGCCGTCGACACGCACGCACTGAGCCCGACTAGCACACTGAGGGCTGAACACTGACCGAAAGACGGGCCTTCAGCCAGCCCGCTATATCCACTGCTACGCGGAGGGTCTCCAAAGCCAATGGCGGCCGCCAGTAACATGGCCTTGACCTTTAGAGAGGTCGACAGCTGATGCGCAACGGAGGCGAAGTCAAGGTACAAATCGCTATATGCCTGCGAGGCGGAGGCGGGTAAACCGCGCGGCCGCCATGATGGTGTGACGTCACTATCGACGAACTGACGGACTTACAGCACCTCTCGACCCGATCGGGTTTCAGTAGACGACCGCGCCAATTATGTCAGTGACCGTGACGTCACACAGAGGTGATGAATTCAGAAACTGTGGACCGTTAACCGTAGGGCGCCAATTCCATCGCTGACGGGCGCCCAATCTATCGCTCCCTGGACTGGACTGTGGTGCCCAGTGGCGCTAACAACTCCAGCACGCCGCACTAACGACGCGGTACTTCTCGCGAGCCTTGTGCGAGCCCCACCCCGGCCCGGGTCAAGGTCATCCGACTGGCCGCGGGCAGCGCGTGACACGCCAGCCGGCGATCCCAGACCAGGTTCAGTAGCGCCGCGCCAGAGCCGGCCGGCCGCTCACGGTGTGTGACGCGAGCGGCCGGAGGTGTACATGGTGCGGCCGTCTGCTACCGCCGCTCAGCCCGGTGCGACTCCACCGGTCAGTGTCTGCAGCGGTGCACGGTCAATCAGACGGACCGATTTCCCGGCGCATCGGGATCTGTGTTCTCACGCCATACCGCGTTTCTGTTTTGCGCGTCCAAAACAACGCCGATCGCCGTGACCGAGAAACACAGCAGCGTTCGGAAACGGTCGGCCCACTGGGTTGAGCAGATGAAGAGGCGTGAGTGCTTCGCAGCGGCACAGAAAGAGCGCGAGACCTCAAACGAGGGCGGAATGGTTCGTCTCGCGGTGTCCGCTATCACGACAAAACTAACCTCGTCACGCTCTGGGCAGAAAGCGCCAGGTCAGAAAGCTGGACAAGAGCGCGGCCACTTCTCGGTGGGTGGGCCTATCCTTGAACAGGTCTTCTGATCTATTGATCGCTGTTTTCTGTGCAACGACTGAGCTGCTGCGTCAAATGCCACACCACCAGATTATTTGTCGACGCACGCAACTGCTTCGGGCCACTGACGTCACAGCCGTCGCCATCGGCTGTCGTGATGACGACAAAAACAGGCGGCGGCATATGGCCGAAACCGGCCGTCCTCCCAAGCCTGTGCACAGCGCCATCTGCAGTTGGCTCGGCTGAAATGCTCACGCCAATACCACCACCAAGCGGCAACTCGCTGATTGACCATCCGGCAACCACTTGACGTGCCGCATTGGACCGATTGATTAAAGTAGTCAGGCTGGTTACCCCTCATAAGACTTTTGGATTCCCACCAGTTCGCAGAATGAGACATGAACAGCCGGATACGCAGTCTTCACAAAGTTTGTCTTCTTTTCAACAGCAACGTGATGTCAACATTCATCCGATTAGGAACAGATTGCAGGGAAAGAAACAATGGGCTTGAGAAGTTTGGCAACTCGACTGAAACGACCATTTTCGATGCAATTTCCACCGCCACGGTCCGCAGCACTAAAAATAAACGCCCGGAATGAAATTGCTTCGAAAAGGCTTTAAGACCGATCCTCTTTCAAATAATTAACAATCAGAATCCAACTACCATTGAAACCCAGCTCCAGTAATCATCCAAACTAAGGTCGCCGAGTAAGCTAAGCTTTCATCCGAACAATGCTACACACGAGATGTTTGCCGGTTCAGTCTGCTACGCAAGGGCCCCAAAAGGCACAAATACAGTCGAAGTAGGAGCCAAACTCGACTGCCAAGAACATTTTTTGAACAGAGATTTACATGCTATATCAAGGCAGGGAGGCGTGCCAACTAGTGATGGTGCTTCGCCTCTATGTCCAGCTGACGTATTTATCACTTGAATCGTCTTCACGAGCACCGCGTCTTCGCCACAGTGAGGCTTCACTGCGCGGCAGCCTAGGGTGGTGGAACTTACAGCATACCAACATTTCGAAAGTCAGGATCGAGCCTGAATAAGATTTAAACAGCGCAAAGCATGTTTTGCAATTGCATCTCAATGATATGTAAATAATGTCGAGTGCCGAGCTAATTTCAGCCAACCGCATGCGGGACCTCCGCCCACGCCATTCCCAGACACAGGAGCGCTCGCCAAGCGAGGCAGTGGACCGAGCTTGAGCCAACAATCAGGATGATCATCGGCTTCACCACCCCGACCGTTCATCTTGGCCGTTGATTGATCAGGATAGTTAAAGCGGCAAGACCGGCGCTCTGGTCGTACCTTGCTCGGGGTGATTGAAGCGGAAGACGTGGTTCTTGCCGAGGATGACGCGACTGCCAGTGCGCAGTACGACAGGCTGCGTGATGGTGCGCCCGTTCACGTAGCACAGCGCCCCATCGTTCGGGATCAACATCACCACACCCTCCCTGTGGGAGAGACGAGCGTCACCACAGCGGCCCTGAAGAACCGACGAGTCACCACATCCTCCTTGGGGAACAGGAGCAGCGTCACCACAGCGGCCCTGAAGAACCGACGAGTCACCACATCCTTCTTGGGGAACAGGAGCAGCGTCACCACAGCGGCCCTGAAGAGCAGGCGAGTTACCATATCCTCCTTGGGGAACAGGAGCAGCGCCACCACAGCGGCCCTGAGGAACAGATGAGCTACCATATCCTCCCTGGGGAACAGAAGTGTCACCACAGTGGCCCTGAGGAACAGATGACTTACCACGCCCTCCGTGGGGGGTCAGGAGCAGTGTCACCACACGCTCCCTGAGGGGAAGGGGGCCAGTGGTGTTAGCCCTTCCGTGGGAGCGGTGTCACCCAATCCTCTCAGGGAAGCGGAGTGGTGTCTTCTGGGTACAGCCATGTCCCCACGCCCAGCCTGAGGCACCAGTGTCTAGGGTCACCTGTCCGCTTAGGATCGCCCAGCCGGCTGACATGGCAGTCCGGTCCCATCACGACAGGCGGGGTCACAATACCCTCACGAGAGGTGGGGCCACAGCACCACAGGTCGCGCCAAGCCCTAGACGGCGGCCAGCCCGCGCCACAGGCGCGCGGGTGCACGTGTTCCGGCGAGTGGCTGTTGCCCGCAGGCGCGGCACGACCCCAGCTGCCACCAGCTGCCACCGCTCTTACGGAGGAGCCGATAGCCCGCCGAAGCCGGCGCCCGCAACTGCCGGCCGCAGCGCTGTCGCGCAGCCGCCCGCCGCCGCGCCGTCAGCGGCGCCGCGGCGCCTCCTCACCTGTTCTCGAAGATGCAGTGCTCGTTGTAGATGTGCACGCCAATCAGCTGGATGTCCTGTGGTATGTTGGCCTCGGCAGAGCCGACGCGCGTGATGCCCTCCTTGATGTAGTAGATCAGACACTCGGACATGGACGGGTCCTCGTTCAGGTTCACCAGGTGCGGCGTCTGCGCGGGCGAGCGTGCGCCGTCGTCACGCTCTCGGTGGGCGCGACACGGCACGAGGAGACAGACATTACATGTGATATGGTAGATCAGACACCCGGACATGGACGGGTCCTCGTTCAGGTTCACCAGGTGCGGCGTCTGCGCGGGCGAGCGTGCGCCGTCGTCACGCTCTCGGTGGGCGCGACACGGCATGAGGAGACAGAAGACACGTGATATCTGCATGCGTCAGCCGGGGTCCCCGCTAGATGCACAATTGTATTATTTGTTGGTTTAGTCCAAACCCTTTTGACTGCATGGGCTTTGAGATCCGCGACCACGCTAAGCAGAGCTTGTTACGTGAGCCATGACCCCGCCATCCGATCGTGAAATCCCGGGTCGACGGCGTAATTTCGCGGCGAAAGCTAAACGTGCCGCGCTTCTTGGCACGGTCCATCCTAATGGTTGAGAAGACGCGTAGTTGAAATAGTTGTGAAGACACGTCAGGAAACATGTGTTTCATGTGCGTTACGTTTTCTCCACGTTCCACGGTCGACCACACCTGCCCGACCTATCCCAGCGAAAAATGGACAGTCACCAGTTGACATCTTCATCAGCGGCGCCCCAACAGGTATCTCAACAGGTATCTCAGCGGTGCGCACGTCGCGAAGGGCGGTGCTGAACGGTCCGGACCTCACCCGCGCACACCCTGCCCGCGCCCGCTCCGCCCACCACTGACCTTCTTGGGCGAGAAGATGCCGACCGTCTTGCCGTCCTCCTTGAGCGCGATGCCCATCTCGGCGAACACGGTCTCGCGGTACTGCCGCACGTCGTCGGCCCGCTTCAGCTTCTGCTCCCAGGTCTCGCTCAGCTCTGTCGGCAGAAGCGGCGTCTCAGAGACGGACGCCTTGGCTTGCGCCTGGGCCGGGAGTGACGGACTTTCGCGTCTGGCATGCACGGCAGCCATGATTTCTCCTGCCCTGTCACGCCAGTTCAACAGAGATCATCAGAGCCCTGGCGACCGTCGTCTGGTACCTGCAAAATGAGGTCTACGGCGAATCTCGCCCACTGGCATTATAGAATACAAAGCCAAACAAAGCTCTCAATCCCGTTGAATTGGGAGGATGCTGTCTGAGTGTGGGTCTAACGTACTTATAACACACACTGCTTAGCACACATCCTGAGCCAAACAGCCATCCAACAATCCACCCGCACGTTATCAAAACATCCCGCGCCCCGGACGGTGCTGTGGGTGCTGCTGACCTGCCATGATTTTCTCGTTGACCTGCAGCTGATGGACAGCATCCTTGGTGACATTGCTGGTTCCACTGGCCTCCGGCGAGCCTCCCTCGGCTGAAACGTCATCTGTAACAGGATCGGAGGCAGACCAGGTCAGTACGGACTGGTTACACAGGGGTCACGGGCTATGCATGTTAGACTACTGACACAGAGCTGCTGAGGCACGCCCGTGGGGAAGGTGGCGGTCGCCACACTGGCAAACTCAGCATTCTAACGCTAGGCCGGCAGGACCGTGTCGCAATGACCTGTCTAAATTGTCAACAACAAAAATACCATTGGTAATGTCAAGCATTTTATTTCACCACTAATTTGTTTAGTATCGCAGCAGATACGGCGCTGGAGTTGTGTCAGAACGAACCTGAGCCTTCACTGTTCGTCACACAGCTGGGGGAGAGCAGAGGCAGGGCGCGGCGGTCAACGGACCAACCCAAACACTGTCAGGTGCCAGGTCTGCTACAACACCAGCCCTCAACGAATCCCGAAAAGTGCTTGTTCACACGGAAGTCTACATATGTCGCTCGAGACGCGGCTTCCGCGTTTTTTCGTGCTTATTTCATTCAGAGCCAGCGTCTTTTTGACGCAGCGCTACCTGTGTCTGTCGCTATCGCTATCTGAATTTGTGTCAGAAAACAGTGCCCTCTCCCCACGCGGCTCATGGCACCCGCTCCTTGACATCAACCCACAAAAGTACTCTTTCTACACGCCGCGAAGAGACCTCGGCGACGTCCGGCTGAGGTCGCATTCACGGCGACCTCAGCAGCCATCAGCCATTGCCGTCACGGAGAGCCATCAGGTCTTCTATCGTCACAGTCGTATTGAATGTGCCGTCGGGATGCGCGTGCTTCCGAGTCACAAGCCTCCAGGAAAACACCATCTCGCTTAGTACAATAGAAAGTTGTATGATTCCAAGCCCAGCTTCCAAAAATGAGATGCAATTTGACACGGCTTCCAACTTATTACATTGGGCTAAAAGGGCACTATTCAGCTGCGGTGCTGCGCTCTTCGTGACAAGCACAATATTCACCCCGGCGGCGTATGCCATAGATAACGAGCACGAGAGCCCCGAGGTGGGCCTCTATGAACAACCAAATCAAACACCCATGACGACGGCAAAGCCGAGAGGAGCTCATCATTAAACTGCCTTTAATGTCTGTGGAGTAATTGCCAGAAAGGTGACCAGATCCCTAAATTCTGATGCTGTGAGCGCAGCGAATAATGCTACGGTTTGCATTAGCTTCTTCCATATGACATGGCCAGCCTCAAAAAAGGCTGGCTGGGAGCAGCACTGCGACATAGAAGGGCTTGGCTGTCTGCACAGCTATAAAAAATTAACGACGAAGTCAAAACCTATCCTACAGCCAACATTATCCATCTAACTCGAGGTGGGTATAATAGATGAGTCTAACATACGAAAATCATCAGGCACCTCAATGTTAAACCGCCACACCCACAGCCATGATCGCCATGCCAGCCCGGGCAGTGCGTGAAGGTGTCCTTTGGCACACTGGGACAGCACGTATGTGTATTCCTCCACAGATACATCCGGCACCAGCCTCCGCGTCAGAAGAGGCTGAGAAAAAGCCACCACCCAGCGCGAGTTCAAGCCAGGCCATCACTGCAAGCGGCGTGTCACGTGGAAGTGCCCGGGCTCGTTAGTGGGCGGCTGGGGCGGACCAGAGGCAGCCGGGAAAGCGTTAGTCGGCAGCCATACGACAGGTGAATTCTGCACACAAGCCCAATAAGTGCAGCGCGGCGAACAGTGTAACCCATCTACTTACGGGACTTGGGCCTACTATTTGAGTAATTAACCTTCCCGTCTGAAATCAGGCAGGAGCTGGCGTCACTCATTAACAACCACAAACGTACCGCGATCCGGCAGAAAACACAGGGACAATGCTTCAACTCAAAGGCAGCGCGTTATTCGCTTCACATGGGAGCAACGCACTGCTGATGCATTCAGGACTGTGGTTCTTTTGGAACACATTGGCGCTGCATCCGGGGATGACGGGGCGCACATGTCATAAAATTCACATTTGCAAGTAACTGCCACAGCAACCCACGTTGTCAACTGATACAGTTTTGCCTTTCAGTAATGTTCAAATTGAAGACAGAAATCAGGTGTATTTCATTGGTTTGTTTTCCTGCATTTGGTAACAAATACTGCGCATTTCATGCACTTGTAAATTGGTCTTGCAACTGCTAAAAGGAGTGTTGAGTGTTCTGAGCCAGCCAGCGATGACTCGGATGACAGTGACGCCTGTAATGATGGTCCCACAGGGAAGTCTAACAAAGCAGCAGCCTAGTACGGAAAAGCATCTTATGTTTCACGGAGTCAGGCTCATTTTACACGATATTGTATGCTAAAATAAGGCTGATGGTTTCGTAGGTTGATCTTTGTCCCGGTTCCCTCCGGGTGCGAATGGAAAACATGACAGGAACTGGATGTATGCAAGACGATTTGAGGTTGACAACCATTTACTAACGCACGCAGAGCGGCCTGCATCGCACTTACGTAAAGAAATAGCATGAAGGAATGCACTGCCCTAACGCGACGTTAAAAACCCTGTGCGGTTACCCTGAGATTGGCAGCAAACGAATATATATTTTAGCCATTCAACACAACTGCAGCAGAACCCACAGCCGTGCTGAAGATCCGAACACACGTAACTGCATCGCTACACAAACGGCCGCGCCGTCGAGGAGGTCGGTCTTCGCCCTCCCCATACGGCGAGAAGCGCCGATGGCGGCGGCTCCGGCACTCTCGCGACTCACCCGAGTCCACCTGGATGCCCTCGACCTTGAGCAGGTCGTGCAGGCGCATGATCTCCTCGCGCAGCTCGCGGATCAGCTTGGCGTTGGCGTCCTCGTTCACCACGGCCTTGCAGACGATCTGTTTGGCGCGGTCGGCGTACCTGGCGCACGGACGCACGGCTCAGCAGGCATTGGTCTCCGGTGAACGGGAACACGCTCCAGGGCCTACGTGATCATCCTGAAAACTTAGTAGCACTTGCAGCCAACAAATGACCTAGTAAAACAGAAGTCCTGAAAATGCGGGTGTATTAAGGCTAAAGACATACTATATCGCTTACAGTTGCCATTCTCGGATTAGTTTAGTTGGAACAGTCCTTAGGTTTCTTACCGATTATGACACCAGCAGCCACGACAGTGACGGCCAAATGTTGTTGAATCGCATGAGATTGGAACCCTAGCTCATGCAACGATTTATGTTGCGCTTTCGACTTCCAAACCGAAGAACACACGTCCGAGCAGCGGCGCGAGCGGCTGCGCGCTCACCGGAGAGTCGAGAGCGTCTCGTCGTAGTTGATGTCGGCCGGTGAGAGGGCGGCCACCATGGCCGTCTTGCTGTTGCCGCCCAGGTTCTCACGCAGCAGCCAGGTCAGCACCGAGTCCCGGTACGGAATGAACTCGGACTTCTTCTTCTTCTTCGAGGCCTGCCGGCGGCGAGCACGGACGTGGGCGCGTCGATCAGCGTCGGGACATAGGACCGAGACTGGTGCGAGCGCGGCAACGTCGGTCATGGGGCATGCGTTGGAGACAAGGTGCTCCCTCAGAATGGCACGACACCCCCGACGACAGACGACCCTGGGTCATCGCATGCAGCGCACCGCCAGCGGCCCATGGACAGACGCAAAGTGGCAAACTTCATTGTGAGCAGGGCTGCGCTGGTGGCACCGCACGACTCGGGTTATTGTTTTGCGCCTTCGCACACTCGCTTTGTCAAGAGAGCGCAATACACCAGCTTGTTTGAGTCTGTGTCAGGTTTTCAGAAAGTTCCACATGTTGTCATTCCTGGTGTCACTTACTGGTGCTGAAGACTGCAGCGTGCAACGAGACACATGTGGCTTATTCGTGACGGAATTGCCATGCGACCGGGGAAACACGATACAAAAAAGGTATCATATTCACGCATATACAACAACACAAACACGATATTCCCCACAACGTGTCTCCCAAAATTTTCCGAACGTAAGTTGGTGTCAACGGGTTTTCATAAAAACTTTCGTCGCGTGTGTCTTAAAAAATACAGTTTCCATTCTAGACTGTTCTTGAAGAAGTACAGCAGGCAATCCAAACGTATTGTTTTTCTTCTGAGGCACGCCTAAAAAAATGTGAGCGTTTCAAAACAACTAAGAATAACAACACAAGCGGAGACAACACCACTTCACACCTTGACCCCATTGCGATCGTGTCCAACCGGGATCGATTCTCACCTGACCCTAGACTACACAAAAGCCAGCTGAACTTGTGAACTCATGACAAATTAGCCAGGACCAAGGCCAACGCAGCCTCCTGCACCTCCGCATTTTCAGAGGCGAGCCTGCCGTTCTTCGGTCCGCAAGCCTGTTTGGCGGTCATCAGACCAGCTCAATGGTCAGGCGGCGTCACGTACCACTTCAGCCAGCGCCGAGATGACCTTGCCGAGTGTGGTCAGCGACTTGTTGATGTTGGCGCCCTCCTTGAGCCGCGTGCCCTTGGCGCCGGTGGAGTCGGCCCTCTCCGAGCCGGCCAGGTCCACCAGCGAGATCTTGCTGACCTGGCGGTGACGGGGCGCCAGGCGGCGTGACGGTGCGGCAGGCGGCGCGCACGGGCGGGCCACTTTACAGTCGTTGCCGGAGAGCGGAGACACAACAGGCTCGAGAGCGGCAGGACGAAGTGTGACTGTAGAGTCTCCCGAGGCCCGGTGGCACGGACACTTCCCAAGACATGCTGCGTTTGACAACACGAGACGGTCTGTGTTTGAATGCATGGTGGAAAGGAGGGAGAGAAGTCAAAAGACTTGGTGACAGCGCACGAAGAACATATCGAACTCTGATTTGATTTCATTTTGTACATTTGGTTCACATCAGTTGCACGGATGACTTCGCACTTCGATTGCATGTTAAGTAAAGGTTGCTCCTAACATCCCCGCATTCATGGCAAACGTCAGCTGATTAAACGGACCTTTTCTGACGTGAGGTCTGTCGCGGCATCATACTTCCGTTGAGTGAAGATGATGGTAAAAACGGCATGGGAACGACTGGACGTTTCATTCATGTTGGTGGCCGCCACAGTCCTGAAACAGAATGGAGGCCAAGCCCGCCATCCTTTGTGTCTTTTTTGACCGCATAGCTATTAAAATGCCGACACTGTGAACTATATTTGACAGCGCGAAACCAATAAGTGCAACAAACGCGGTCCGTTTATCCGAGACTATGAGCTTCATTTATAGAAGGCCGGTAAACCGGGCTTACACTTGATAAATTATCACACCTAAAACAATTAGCGCATGCAGCACATCCGAGCAAAGTTTGGTGTCACAGAGCAACAGCGCAGTAACCACCTGAGCGACTCGGTGACGGAGTGACGCTGTCAGACTCAGGACGGCCTTTGCACGACGTCGACTGACCTGGCCTTGTTCCCCTCGTCCATCAGGTCGCGGATGTCCTCGTAAGCGGTGACGGCCAGCTTCGAGAGATCCTCTACGTAGGGCCCCAGCAGCGGGTGCTCACGCACGCGCAGATGGTTCTTGTTCTTCGGATTCAACAGGTCCCGGACGCGTTCGCAGTAGATCTCCATGTAGCTGACCTGGTGGAAGCCAAGTGCCAAAGATGTCTCGAACAGCTAGCATTTCCGTATTCGACTTAAGCATGGCGTGCGTTACTGCCGGGAAGGGTGGGTTGTTCAATGATGGCAGATGCAGTCACCAATGACAATGACCACAGTCGACCTCAGTATTCCTGGAGGTACTGGCCACCACACAGAGCGCAAACTGACCACCGTACAGGGTGTAAACAATTTTATATTGGGATGACTCTCAACACATCAACCAGCACAGTTAAATAAGCGGCTCTTTTGCTACTCTGCATGTTGACCGGTCACCGGGTACATCGCGCGTGGACGCCGCTGCCACTGCCGCTGCTGATAGAGGCCTGTCGCAATGACGTCGTTCGCTATTAGCACCAGCAATGTCATCGTTGATTATGTTGCGGTTATCAATAGAAATTGTAAAACAACTCGCAGCTTCACAGAAGTTTCAGGGCTTTCTCAATCGCAGTATGCGGAGAATGGTCCACACTGCCTACACAACGATTCCGTGCCGTGGTTTCTCAAACAGTGTAATGATATATGACATTTATTTCAGATCTACCAACTACCAAGCAAGACACTTGTTTGTGATACTCAGAGAACTATTGTTTCAAAATGCATATGATACTGAGAAAGCAACTTAAAGCAAGACAACGTACCCTAGCATTCTCTGATCGAAGTGAGGTTTTAGCTGGCTAAGTTTGGAATCTTTTTATCATGGTCTAACAGTATGAACTTGACAGAATGTCTCATGACACAGCCCCGACACTGTTGCCAAAGATCACCAGACTGAAAGTGAGGAAAATCAACACTGCACGACATGCTGTTGCCCGACGCTGCGCCAACTCATTTTGTCCCCGAGCTCCGAAGGTGCCGAACAGAGAAAGTATTTTGAATGGTGGGGTAATGCAGCCGACATGCTTTGATTCTTCAGTCCCACCTTGCTTTGTATCGCAAGCCAAGTTGTCCACCCGACCTCTTATGTGTTCTCTGTCTTGACGTACAGCTTGACGCATACACAAAAAGTGGAAATAAACCACACCGTGACTAACAAAAGGTGCCATAGCCATTGCGCGTTGCTAACATTCTGCGCACACGCCATAACCTCTTATGATGCATAATTTGGCATTAAATTTGTAGTAGTACATTCAGAAAGGTACGAAGGCATGTATATCCAAGGTACATCAGCGTGTAGCAGTGGCCGAGGATATAAGATTCCATAGTGCAACCAGATTTGACAGACGGCTTTGACCCGGAGTATGGGGAGGCAGCTTCTGGCAGTTTCAATGACCTGGGAACGTTCAGAGCGCTGATGACTCCATGGGAGCACTAACGCATGAAACGAGAACCAGTAAGCACTCATCACCGCGGCGAAAAGCTCACTGCGCCAAACTCGATCAGGCAGGCCCGGTCATCAGCAGAGGCACGGTGAAGCGCGCAAGCGGGACAAAAAACAAACTCTGTGGCCCGCGAGCAGTGCGCCGGAAAAGGCAGCTTTGTCACACCACTGACCTCCACAGAGTACTGGGCTTCCGTGTCGCTGTCGTTGGAGATCCGCTGGAAGAGGTTGCGGCAGATCCTGGGGATGATGCCCTCTTGGCCATCGTCCGGCTTCCCCATCATGGTGTACGACTTGCCGGCCCCGGTCTGGCCATACGCAAAAATGCATACATTGTAACCTGCAACCAGGCAACATCTGTTGATTAATATTGGCAGGGATGCAGCAATACCATGTGATTCACATAACAGGCATTTAGTTTAGGTGATTTGGAAGACATCTTACAAGAAGTTGTCAAAATAGATCATTTCGAAACGATATGGTTTTCGCCAAGAAAGGCCATCTACCGGAGGCATCCATATTCAAGCAATCCAACCAAAAACACGCAAAACAAATTTGACGAAACTAAAGACCAGTTTTACTAGAATTTGCGTTAAATGATAACAAATAATCGCTTCAAGTTCAAATATCAAAGAATCGAAGCAGAGAAAATGTTTGGCTTATCATATTGATCTCAATGACACTTCAGCGCTTAAATAAAAAAGGATTGCCGTGCCGAACATTACACATAGTGCAATGCCTTGAAAAATTCATGAATTTCACGTCCTGGAATGTTATGCAATGAAATGAAAATGAAAGGAACCTCGTGCCATGGAATTCATGTCCTGCGCAGATTCGACTTGACCATCGCGTGGCACGACCAAAACCCTCCTAGTTCCGTTTGGCTGTATAAGCGGCGGATACCGCGAGGGTATACGTTGGACTGGAACTGCGCTGCCTTGCCGGTGGATTCCGGGCATAGCCTTCAAGACCTGCTGAACGTATACTGTTAACATGTCACCTGTCCGACAGCCAATACGTCTTCAAGTGAGCAGATGAATCGAGCTGGCAGTATGCTGAACACGCGTTATATCAAGGCCTTTTATAATGGCACACCCTGTGGGGCGCCCCTGTCCGCTGCTAGCTGTTCCCAGCGATGTAGAAACGCTGAAACCATGCATTTTTCAAGCAATTGTGTCTGGGAGAGTTTATCCTGTATGCTGAGTCACGAAGGGACAGGACAAGCCGTTTAGGGTCAAACAAGGTCAGAAACATGAAATATATGTCGGAGGGCAATCGGAGCGGAAATGACTCACAAGATACATTTTTTCTGGTGTAGCTATCAGAACTCCGTTTAGTTCTGAGACTAAGGAGACGTCACGATATTTCCGCGAACAAACGACCGACGATTAGCGAGGCAAGGCGTGGTGCATGAGGTATGCTTCATTATCGCGATGTAATTACCGATGTTTAGGGTCAGCTATGCCAACTCAAGCCCTGGTCCATGACAAATTAAGGACAACGTTTATGGGTCAAATCGATAACGTTGATTTTACACAAAGGCCATTTACGTAACGAGGAAGGCTCTCCAGGCGGCCACCCACACATCCAAACTTACATACGCGCGACATACGTGTGGATTTGTTTTCTTTGTTCTCGTTCCGTAGTGTGCTTCCGCGAAGTGCAAGCCCAGCTGCTGGCGGTTTGGTAACTGCGCGGAGAGGTGGGTCCATGGCCGAGCTCAGTGGGCCGACACCCGTTCAATGAGCGATCCTTTTTAGGACTAGCATCGGAAGTCGATACGCCTCCACGAGCGCGCGGCTCCATTCGACGGTGGTCCTCGTGCGACGCCAGCCCGTGCATCAGTGCAGCTGGCCGACGAAGACGGCAAACGTGCATTTTGACTTGGCCACGTTACCGGGAATTTGCTTGCTTTTGTTTTGACTCGGTCCTCTCGACCTCTCACTCTGCTATTGCGTGACGCATCAACAAGTTTACGGCAAGTTTTCTTTGTATGCTAGTTGAGAAAACGAGTGCGTGGAGTAGATTTGCCCCTTCCAATGCGCATATACTGTTCTATAAAAGGTGCGTGATGCGCCGTTGAAGGCGTCGGGCCGATCAGGTGCTTCCTCGGCGTCGGACAAGGGTAGCGTGACAGTAGGACAGTGTGAGGTAATAAAGATGTAAAATTCATCAAGGGTGCTCGCATAAGGGTATGTCAGACGCAAGATAATGGAGTCACGCGGATTAAGCAGTCCTTACAAATGGGTCTGCGTTGTGAAATCCCTTTTCCATGAGAGCCAAGCACACAAATGTGCGCTGATGAGGTGTTTGCAGGCTAATTCACAAACTGCATGGCTTTAATATTGGCTGGGCCTTGCATCCCGCCCCGTTTGGCCCGGCTTGGCAGCAAATTCAACAGGCTAAATCAATAAATACACAGACGGACGACGGTGCGAACTGCGATCAAAGCGTTTCGAGAAAACAAAAAAAAAGCGAGAATATCGGTCACAGTGAGCTGGGCCTGCGTGAGTTTTGTAGCTTTCACTCGGTTTGAGCGCAGCCTCCCGCTTGCCAGACCGGCTTCGACACAGGTGACGGTGGCCGCTTCCGGCAGGGTACCGGCGCACCTACGGGTCGGTCTGCATTGACAATGTTCGACGGACTGTTGGCGACACCTTTTTCCAACATCCAGCAGTCGGTTTCACGTCTCAGCTTGCTATGGCTGCCGAAATAAGACCAGCCGCCCGCAAGTCCCCCAAATGAGCGGAGACATGGCTTGTGAGCGAAGTGACCAGCTGCCTATACCGATCCATGCCCTAGCCATTCCGACTGTCCGCTACCTCCCCGTCAAATGGTGTCGTGCTCTCGTCGCAACGAAGCTTTTTCTTCAAGATCACGGGCCAGTTTCAAATATCAGGGTCCAGCTTCGAATATCAGGGTCCGGTTTCCAAGATCAGCGTCCAGTTTCGACGCGCGATGCACAGGTTTTCTACAAATAGCAAGTCTCACGTTTTTTCCCGTCAATATAGCATGAAACGCTAGGTTTTGTTCAGCGTTGCAACGTTCGCGGTAAATCGTGCCTGACCACACAGATTGTAGGCTTACACGGCGCACCCTCTAAAAAGCCGTGCTTCCGCTGTCGAAATCTGCGGGATGTTGCGATCAGTGGTTGCAAGGCTATTAACTTTCAGAGAGTGTATTGGCTAGCCCGGTCTGGGTCACCCACATTGGAAAATTGAACTCCTGTTCAAATTAAATCTGCTCAGTGTTCGAATTCGCTCACAATAAGTCTAAAACCATGTAGAAAAACGCAATCTCAGCGGATTATCGATGAATAACACTTTTATAAAGTTTCATCCAGCTGTCCTTTATGAAAACATAAACCGAGACCAAAACAGCCAGCGCCTAGTCAAAGTTTAGAGAAAGTATGGGCAGCGTGTTGTTAAGACCCCATTGATCCGAGGCCGCTTTACGCTTGTCGTAGCTTATGTTCTTCATACCTAGGAAACCAATCTTGGAGGGATCTTTGTGCAACAAGAAGCAATCCAGCGACCATTTAAGCAGCCATTTAATTACAAGCGTAACACCATGGCACGACGCCAACCTGCCCGACTGTCGTTCGGGATCTTTATAAAACACCAGCCTTTTGGGCAGGTATCTTAAGAGGCTCAGTACACCAAGCCCACAGTATAACACACCCCCTTAGACCGCTGTATCAACAGCACTGGATTGTCGTTGTTGCTCCCAAACAAGCCGTGTTAGTTGTTCTTTCATCCTTACGTGCTCATTGCCTTAGGTCCTACCATGAGCAAATGGGTTATCCACGCTACACAAGTCAAGGCGGGGCTATAAAAAGTGCCCGACTAAGGGCTGCCTGGCAAATTGGTTGGATTGTGCAATTATACTTAAACTTATTTTTCTTCGAAACTCGGTACATGCCAGAGCGACGAATGGCACGCTGCCATCAGTCGCTACCTTCCAGTCAAATGCCACCGGGAGATGGGAAGCTACGTGCCACACTAATCGCCACCAACGCTGGACGTCTCGGACAATCGCCGAAACGCGCCGGCACTGATTCTCACGCCTGGGGAGGCCGGCGAGTACCTACCACAGGATGGGGCGGATCATCTGAGGAAGCGGGCAGGAGTCCTAGCTTCTTTCCACTGCGACGTACTCCGATCCTACATTATGCGACAGATAGTAGCCAAGCCCTCTTGCCGTCGCTAATCCGGCGCCGGTGACCTGCTGCAGCATCAGCAGCACCGATGAGGTGAAGACTAACCTTCGAAGGCGTGGTCCAGCATCTCCACCCCGATGTCCAGGTACACCCGCTCCTGGGAGGAGAACTGGGGCGCCGACGGCTGGAACACCAACATCACGCGTCACGCGCCATCAACGTCCCGCGTCACACGCCGGTTACGGACTCGCACAGAAGGATCTTGCCACGTCATGCGTGCTGGGCACGGAAGGGTACTATTCAGAGCCCCTCGTCCGCCCACGCCTAGTAACTAGAGGTGGAATGAATCAGATCCATGCATATGTGAGTTAAGTGAAACAAACATGGCTCGGGACCAAAGTTTTGGAGCTAAAATTAGACACACCAATCTTCACAGCACTTTCCCTTTCCCTGTCGCGATTTATCAGCCCCATGCATTATGCATGGCCATACGAACAGCACTTCCCTCGCTCTACGCCATCATTGACCAGCGCTGCATGATTCAAGCCAAAATTGTATCACAGCCGGTCCTGACCCTTAATGACTGAAAGTACCTAATGTTATAAATAATTGCCCATGAACTACATGGAAGTCAGCAAAGTACCTTCAGAGTGCTAGGCTTATGTGGGTAAGGCGCTGTCAATGGCATCTGCAGTACTCCTGAATCACCGGGAAAGCCGATGGCAACTTTGAGCCAGTGTAGCATTCAGCACGTCACAAACCAGTAGATTGGGATGATTTGATGATTCAAGACCCTGCGGATGTGGTCGAGATCACGAAGCAAGGTTCAGAAGTCAGCCGGTGAGCACTTACAATTTTGGTGTATACTTTTCCAACAATATACACATCAATATCTTTAAAACACCCCGCTGAAAGCAACAGCTCATTTAAAATTAAAAGCCTTGAAATATCGGGAAAACTTTCAAATGTGTCAGCTATTTGCAATTAGAGTAAAAGTGTATTGAAAGGGAAATGACACACGGCCACAATAACAGGGGCGCAAATCAGTCTTCCGTCCATTAACTTGTGCAGCCTATCTCCGCTGACCACCAAAAACGTTCGAGTCCTGCTACTACACCGCCAACTTCCAATGATTCCAGGACAATTTCCTTCTCTTAATGAGTAGATCAATACACAAATACCTGCACCGGCAGATACCTAAAGAGGGAGGGGGGAATCCTCTTTTTCCCGGCAGACCAGAGGCGCCATGAGGCCTCCCTGCGCGAGACGCGGGTCCTTTTCGCTAAAAAGGGATTTCGAAGCCGGCACTACACCAAAAGCTCTTGAATTCAAGACGTCAAAATCATAAAGCATGCGTATACTGGCTGCTGAAAACGAGGCTCCTGAAATCGCAGGATCTTTGTGCAGCTACCTCACCAGTTCAACCATGAATGCGCCGCTGTCCTGTTTTACCTGTTTGTACGCGTTCTGAGCTAATTCAAACCCACCTTGGCATCTGTTCTTACCTCTATCGACCAGTAGGAATAGTCAAAGTTAAAACTTTTGACGTTATCATTTATTTGCTTGGGATTCGTGATGGCTGAAAACAGAGTAGAAATATTATGAGCATCACAAGGAGCCTGCCACCGACGACTTACGATAACTTCTACAAACAAGTACATATGAGTCTCATGAACAGAAAACGATAACACGATGAGACAGTTCAATACGTAAATAAACACAGTTTTAAACGTACAATTAACCAGAGAGTGATGTCTTGTAACAATGCGAATGCCAAAATATTTCCAAAAAGCTAGGCAAATCACTTAAGTACAAAGTAAACCATTTGTGACATGAAGTCACTGTGTGCAATCACTTAGCACGCGTTTCCCCAAGGCAGGAAATAGAAATGTTTATCTTTTGCTGAAAGTGTGAAGCAATCGTGTTAAGCACACAAGTACACTATACCGAAATTCTGACACGTTCACTTACCTAATCTTGTCACATGCGCATTCTCATCATTCCACCGATGTGGGGATTTCGCTCAACAACTTCAAGGTAATAACTATCCCAAACAAAAAAGTGAAAATGTGTTGCACAAAGTTCGTAATAAGAGGGGAGCTATTCAAATCGGTATTAAAGTAGTCGAACTTCAGCTGCGGGTTTGCAGACTGATCTGAATTCACCCCGTGTTGCGCATTAATAGCATGTTACCAAGGGGGCATTACTGGTACACCACAATTTGCTCAAGACTTACACAAGCCCAGAGCGTCATCAGTTCCACACATTGCATTATCTTTTGTGATCCGACTTGCGACATGCAAACTAAACAGATGCCTCGCACAACATCCTCAGGCTGGATGGATCTCGGTACGCCTTATTCGGAAAGGCAGAGAATAAGTTTTAATCCATGTCGTGTGTGCTTCTCAAACCAGAAGCGACACGCCCAAGCTTCTCGCACTACGCCCACAGCCCTTGAGAGGCTCAAACGGCACACAACGGGTTTCACGCACTGTTCGAGTCCGGCGCACTTGGACCTCTCCAACGTTGGAGCCTCGCGACCGTGAACCACATCGCTGCTCCGCAGGTCTTACCTGCGCGAGAGCGAGGTCAGCCCCGCCGTCAGACCCGAGGCCGCGACTGACGGCCCCACCGACGGGCCGGCGGAGCGCGCCGTGACCGGCCCCCACCTGCCGGCCGGCCCTGCGCCGTACTCACTGGTTGTGTTGCCGTCCATGTCGATGATGCAGTCGCACTCGCGGCCGATCTCCCTACCGTTGAACGGCCGCACCCGGACGGCGACCTTCACCGACGACATGGCGGGGCGCGCTCACCCGTCTGTCAGCTGGCGGCACACACACACCGCTGTCGGACGTGTCACATCACGCCTCGGGAGCAGGCCGTGCGCAGCGGCGCTCCCCGACATGAGGCGCGCTCACCCGCCAGTACACAGACACCCGTGTCGGACGCGTCACCTCACGCCTCAGGAGCAGGCCGTGCACAGCGGCGCTCCCCGACATGACGAGCCACCCGTCAGCACACAGACACCCGTGTCGGACGCGTCACCTCACGCCTCGGGAGCAGGCCGTGCGCAGCGGCGCTCCCCGACATGACGAGCCACCCGTCAGCTGGCAGCACACAGACACCCGTGTCGGACGCGTCACGTTACGCCTCGGGAGCACACCGCGCGCAGCAGCATTCCCTGGCCTGCTGTCGAAACACGTAGTCACTGGCGGTCCATCACCGCGACCCAGTCATCACGCGGTCGGCCGGCAGCGCACACATTGTCACTTCTCGACCATACGCCGAAGCCCATTTATCGCAATCGATCTCAGTCGGAAACCCAGCACTATAATTTCAGCTACGACTCATCAAGAGCGGATCCAGGGGGAGGGGACAAAGGGGCCATGCCCCCCAAATATCGCGAAATAATAGTTTGCTCCCTCCCAAAAAAGGCCTGATGTACGTTATTATATCATGCTACGCCATGTTTTCAACCATTAATTGCGTAGGTTTCTGGTTCTGCTACTGCAGGGGCAGCCAACTGTGTAAGCAGTCAACGCGTACCCGCAGCTTAAGACAGTTGCGCGTCTGGAATGGGTAGTCCATGACTGGCGGATGGTTAACCCGTTATTTCATTGACATTTCGCGTGACCCGCTAACTGCATTATCACACCCAGCCTACCGGCCAGAGGCTGTTCTGCCCCCACGCACGCATACAGCCGTTCCACGTGCGACACAGCGACCTGTGCCCAGACTGTCATGCTGGGGTCGTGTCCTTTATACATATTACAAGCATGTCTGGAGCGCGGGTGCGGGTGCGGCAGCCACCAGGTGTTTTAAATGGCATTCTACAATAATCCTTTGAACCCCCGAAACCAAATGTAATTATTAAACAGTTCGCCCCCACCCACCCATTCCCAAAAATATACATCAGCCCACGCAGTTCATCAGCCGGTGCATGGTCTATCTATCCCTCGCTTGTTCTGATAGTGTTCCAACCTGGCGTGCGTGACCATGACCTCGACGCCAGAGGTGACGGGCGGCGGCAGCGGAGCGATGCCGCCGACAGGCGGTGGCACAATGTCCAGACAGGTCACGGTTCCGTTACCGACTGGCGCCGTAACGTCTAGCCGGGTGCGATCCTGAGACAGCACGTCACATCCAGAAGGTGGCGTATTTCACACCACGCAAGCGCCTTTTTCAAACTGCGTCAACAAATCAGCACAATGGGGGAACCTTCTCGTCACTTTTCTTCGAAATCGATGAAGCCATACCTGTATAGCGTGGTTGGCTCTTTTCGCGGCGCCATGAGGCGATCCGAAGGCCCGTCACAGGCAAACTCGGCACGGACAAGAACAGCTCGTAATGAATTAACAAAGGATTGTGCGTATGTATGTGTGTGAGTGAGCATTCATGGGCCATACACGCACAGAAGGCTGTTAAAAATACAGGAAATGGGAAACGTTCTTCTCCTGATCAATGCAGTGCAACTTTCTTGGAACGACCGTGTTCTTAAGTCAAACCTTGGGACCTGCGGCGCGGTACAAACATTTTCTGTTGTTTTGGAAGAAGGAGAAGCGCACGTACTCAATAACACGGAGCGAAATGTTCGTCACGGGTTGTAGAGAATGAATGATCGCACAGCGCGCTACCGTTCGCCACATCCACCCATCATGGAGTACTGCTTTTGCGCATCTAACCACACTGCTTACAAGGTATTCCCATTATCACGCTTACTGGTCGCCTTCAATCGATAGAAACAGATCAAAATGTCCGAAATATGGATGAACATCCTGAGGGAGCGCGCGCGTTGGTAGCGGGGCCATCGGAGCACGACGGGTAGAAGGCTGTCTCCACCACCCGGCCACGAAAGCTTACCTGGCGTCTCCTGGCGTCTCCTAGCGTCTCGCCGGTCAGCTGGAGACCAGCCGACGCGACCGCGGATCGCAGGGCAGGCGCGCCAGCATTAACGCGGGCGTCGCTCGCTCGCCCGCTGGACGGCGCCCCGGTCCGCCCGCGGCCGCCGCCGCTCCCGCCGACGCGCGGTATTGACGGGCGTGACGTCATGGGTGGTGCGCGCGCAGCCGCCGGCGCCGACGCTCGACGCCCCACGGCCGTGCCGGGCGCAAGTCCCGACAATCGACATCGGCGGCGGAAAGCGCTTCCTCCGGCCGAGCTCCAAGGTTGCCGCGGCTCCCCTCTCCCCCCCCCCCCCCCCCTTCCCGATCCAGAGGCCTGAGCTCATGCCGCGCGGCCGCGCGGCGGCCAAATCCGGCGTGCCGTAGACGTTGACCGGCTGCTGCGTCATCATGTCACGCAATGTCATCGTAGGACCGCACTGACGAACGCGTCTCCCCGCTGAACGAAAAACGCCGTCGTTGGATGTTTCGAATACGTTTTGTATTTGGCACAAAAGCGTTCAAGCACGAGGCTCAGGATAAATCGCCAATACACGACATTTTAGGCATATGTGCACAAGCCATACCACGTAATGTGATTTCAGCGGTCCGCTGGCCCCTCCCTTCCCGCTCTCACTCCCTTCCGCCCGCCTCTCTCAGCCTCCATATATTATTTCCCATATTATATTTCCCATACACGGCATTTTAGGCATATGTGCACGAGCCATACCACGTAATGTGATTTCAGCGGTCCGCTGGCCCCTCCCTTCCCGCTCTCACTCCCTTCCGCCCGCCTCTCTCAGCCTCCATATATTATTTCCCATATTATATTTCCCATACACGGCATTTTAGGCATATGTGCACGAGCCATACCACGTAATGTGATTTCAGCGGTCCGCTGGCCCCTCCCTTCCCGCCTCACTCCCTTCCGCCCGCCTCTCTCAGCCTCCATATATTATTTCCCATATCGGCGTCTGCGCAGGGGAGCCGACATACCTAGACTGTGCCGCACCACGACACTAATGCGGGCTAGCCTACGGCATGCTGAATTCAGAACTGATCAAAAACACGTAGGTTACAATCGAGCGCCCCGCCGACTGCCAAAACTTGCTGAGAAAAACCACCAAAACAAGGGTGAAGTCAGTTATGTACGGAGACTGGCTCTTGCGCGATAAGAGGCCGAGTAATTTATCATAGGGGTAGTCGCCATCCACATTATCGCTGTTGTAAATTTCATGTGTTTAAAACAATTCAGTGCTGGAAATCCATACTGTATCTTACCAGCCTTGGTTGCCGCAATTCACTGACAAAGGTACTGTGTGTTTAAAACGATTGCGTTGCGTTAAGATAATGTAGAACTGGAAATTCATACTACACCTTAACGGCCTTGGTCAACTTAACTTTATTCACTGTCAAACGTGTTGTTTTATTCAATATGCTTTTTCCTCACAAATGCAACGTGTTTTGCCCTCACTAATGAAAACACCAACTGAGTCGAATCTACGTGTTGTGCCATGAGAAGCCAGCCACTTCGTTATAATATCCATTCATGTTTAGCTTCACTGATGCTTCTCAAATGGATGGTGGACGTTGACAAGTTTCATGTTGACACTGATGCGGCTGGGGTGGGCTGCCTCCTGGTACCCCCTGGGCAAAATAGCGGGTGCGCCCATTGAGCAAGTTTAATTTCAATGACACTTTTTCATAAATGGCGTAAAAACTTGGGCTCACAAAACTACTTTAATCAAGATGTGTACACGTGACACTTTATTTCAAGCACTGCCACCTACAGATTATCATTCAGTGTTGTGCCGTAAGACACCAGCCACTTCCGTAAAAACATGCAGTCATTTTGTACTTCTGTTGCTCCTCAAACTCATGGCTTGTAATCCCAGCAACCAGATGTTAACTGTCATGACCTGCTTTAATTCACAATATTCCGCTGCTATCTGCATCCATATCCGAACGCAAAATCCCAAGAAAAGAAAGAAAGCTTGCTGGAGAAAACAAGGTGAAAGCACCCCGCGCGAGACGAGCGCGACCGTTCGCTGCCAGCATATCAGCCAGCTGCGCAGATGCCTGTTTGACATGCACAACGTCGAGGAGCCACAATGAGGAGACATGTGTCTGGTTCGACGCCTGCAACCTGTAGCATGCATCCTAGGTCAAACCCTATCTCGATCGGGCTCTCTTATAACCTCATCCCCAGCAGACGGCGGATTCCGCCGCCGCCCTCCTCCCCCCCCCCCCCCCCGCCTCTTCGTCTGCGATTTCCTGACCTGCTGGCCGATTATAAACTGATTTCTCACCACGCGGCTCATGTTCCCCCAAATGTCAATATTTGGTAATCGTGTAGTAGGGGCAACAGGGGGCCAAAAACCGCAATCATGAAGGTCTTCTTTATGGGAAACAGTTGCCCGGTCAGAATCAAGGAAGTGTCAGCCACGCCATGACCCCCTCTGCTCCTCCCCCGGCTTAATTCGACATATTTGTGAACTTCGAAGAGAACTTAGGCAAGGTTTACTGAGAGGACCTTGTTTTAGAACACTCATTGAGGTAAGAGGATGCAAAATCTTCTTTAATCAGGACAAGCTTTTGGATTTGGGCAGCCATAAGCCACGGAAGCCCCCTCCCAAAGTGGCGTTCTGGATCCGCTCTTGCAGAGCTATCGCACTCACAAACTGACTTCATCGCAACCACCGAAGATCGAAAATTATGATTTCGAGACTGCTGTAAAGTGGTAAGTTTCAACGTCAAAAATGATCGGCGTATCCAACGGATGCAAAACGGGGTGGTAAGACGAATTGCCAAACGGGAATTTTACTTGAGTGCACGCGCAGCGGATAGGACAGTGGTTTTCTTTGTTGCCAGAAAAAAAGGCAGAGGCCAAAATTGTGGCGTAAGCTGTGTGAGTTTCTTATTGGGGTGGTGAAGAGGGAAGGCT